GCTGCGCCGTGCATCTTCTTGGTCCGCGTGGTGACCAGACTCGACCAGAAAGAGATGCTGCTCTCACTGATAAATCTGTTTCATGGCAGGGTCGCCGCTTGGAGTCGAGAAGCCTTCGCAGGTCTTTTTAGCTGATCTTGAGGTATTGGGCTCCACCTCAAACAACATGTCCGCCCAACCTACTATTGGCCGCCTCTGGATCCGGCGGGACTGGGCTGATGGACTTACCGAGTCCGGCATTGACCGCACATGTATGCACCTGCTGGACCCCGTAGCCTTATTGCTTAGGATGTCATTGGTGACAGAGATTGCTCTGAGGTGGCAGACCGTAAGAAGTCGTAGGCGCGGAACTGTGTACCCATGCCCAAACACAGGCGATATCTTCGCACGCACGAATTCATGCCAACTTACTGGCAGAACATGTAGAACCAGTTTTCCTGCCAGGGCTGAAGCAGGGATTGATATAAGGACATTTGCCTCTTACGATCTTTGAAGGAGTCATCATTTCAGCCAAAGCCATGGCCAAAGCCATGCTGCGCCTGTTTGGGCGACCCACGAGCTCCAACACTCAGAAGGCATGCTGAGGAGTTTACTTCGGACTTCCGACAGCCCAAACCAAGTTGATCCAAGAAGTCTCGTCAGGTGCTTTGGACACTTGCTGAGCTGTCATCAAGGCGTGGTCGCTTTGAGAGCTTGGAAGCTCACGTGTGTTGCCCGTTTTTGCCCTAATGAGTGCTGATGAGGGGGCCTTTATAAAGGCATCCCAACACACATGCTTTTGGTTTTTGCCCTCCCTCATCAGAACAGATCATCCAACTAGACCCTTTTTGTGCATCTTTGCTCCAGACCGGTCGTTTCTTTCGATTCATTGAAACCAGCTGCCCGGACCGGCGTTTCGGACAATCCACAGCGTCACCTCGAGGACGTCGTTCGAGCTGGTGCTGGCCAGTGCTCGGCTGGGCCCAGACTCCGATCTACTTTGCGAGGGCACTGGTGCGAAGCCCTACGGCGTCGTGGATTCCGAGCCCTGGTGTCCCAAGGAAGGATTGCAGATATAACATGTTGGGACTCAGGTGTGATACCGAGTGAGTGAAGGATGAGGGCCGCCTGAGACATTTAAAGGAAAAGATGGTCGAGCAGGTGCTTCCCTTTTCCGGACGATTTTTCAGCCCTGCAAAGTTGCTAAGGATGAATACGTCGAGCTGTGCCCAACCCGCTCGAAGCTCAGTTGTGGTTTCAAGTTTGGGTGGATGAATCAAATTGCTTTAGCGATGACCTTGCACAAGCTCAGCTTGACTGGTTGACACGGACAAGTCAAAAGCACGTCCCATCTGACGGATGTCATGTCATTGCAGGGTGCAATTTCCAGATGCACCAATAGAATCAAACCTCGTCTGAACATTCACCATTAATCTCAATCCAGCGGGGGCAACTTCAAGACCATGGCCCCTTCACTACGAGTCTATCAGGGGACAGTTTCTGCCAAGGAATTATATCAAGTTAAACGAGCTGCAGCAAAAGCCTATAGATAGCATTTCCATGCATTTCCTTCAGGTATATGTAGGAGCTCCTGTGCATCGACCAAACATGCAAACCTCATCCTGTGATGCCAGCAGGTTTGGTGCCTTGTTTAGTGGATGGTTCCTTGTCTGTCTGGGAATCTCACTCCATCGTGCGCTACTTAGCACAGAAGCTTGGCTTATCCCACCTGCAAAGGGGGATCCTGAGTCAAGTTGGGACTCATTCCCACGACCTGCGCATTGTAGGTTGTTCTTTCGAAAGGGTAATGGGCCTGAGGCGGCCTGAGGTTGTTTTGTGACACTACATCTCAATCCCAGCTGGCCAGGTGGCCTTCAGTCTGCATGATATGTTTTTATGAAGTTTTAAATCTCAGCCCTGCGGAGCAGTCCTCGAAAACCCCGAGTCAATAGAACCCCTCATGTTTGAGGGGATTCCCAAATACCGCAAATAAGAGCATGCACGATGCAGCATTGCGAAGCCGAGGAAGTATGGGCCCGACCTCCACTTGGGCTCAATTGAGGGGATGGCACAATGCTCACCCTGGATGGATTGGTTGCTCTTCCAGAACTTCCATGAATGTCAGAAGCTTAGTTTTGTCCTGAGTTTAGGAAGCTACTAGTAGCAAGGACGCTATTAGGTGGAGGCCATCGCTGCCATCGCTATTAGGTTGGAGGCCATGACTACTAGGACCTAGGAACAAGAAGCTACTAGCATCTAGTAGCAAGGCTCCATTTCTGCCCACCACTCGGGTATTGACCCAGCATTGGACCGGATTCGAGGCCGCCGAGGCCCGAACGATGGGCCCAAACATATCGATCGTGGCAGATTGGGGGGAAGTCACTAGGATCAACATTCAGCATGACTGAGGCAATCATGACTTCATCGACCAGATTGCTCGCACTCCCCCGCCCGAGAGAAAGCTCGAGCTGATGGCCAGGAGCTACGAAGGCTCCCAGCAGGAAGCTGTTGTCCAGGTATAGTGACATAGTGACATGGTTTCACCTGGTGCCTGGTGGCCGTCATTTGCCATCCAAATACTTGAAGATGTGTGACACATGCCCATGAGTTTGAGGCTATGTCAAACGCCTACAGAAGGTGGAAGAACAAGTCGCTCGGACTGGTGCCTTCATCACCGGCTCCAGCTTCTCCATCGCTGACCTGACCTAAGTGGAGCAGAAATGGGAGAGCAAGTTGAGCCCGTTGATCACTAGCTGGTCCAGAGCAGGGAGTTGACGGTGAATGGATGTCACATCTAGGAGTCGTTCAGACATAGGTTTGCACCATTTCAATCTATTATCATTAGGGGCACAATGTGATCAGAGGATAATCATTATCAAATAATCTGCGGACATAGGTTTGACAATGTTTTCTGAGGACATCGTCATTGGGGCTGAGATTTCTCGCTTCAGCTGCGGCACGGGCCTGAGGAAGCCACAGCAGGCCGTATGGTGACACAAGGCATGTCCAGACAGTGCTCACCGCCAAAGCAGCCCTGTCCGAATGATCTCGGAAATCCTTTTCGGCAGAGATTCAACATCCCTTGACCATAGGCAAATGTCGGTGCTTGCGAGCCTGCTGGACTTGTACTATGAAGTAACCGAATGTGGGCCGAGGCATGCATCGTTGGGCAATGGGGCCTCAAGAGCTTCCGAGTCTTGTCGAGCTACCACACCTTTGCAAATACTTCAGGTGGTGTGGGGGATGCGGCTCAGGAGGCTGATGGCGATCCAGGCTTTTTGGATGGTCATGTCTTGGCACGGGACGTTCACTTTCAGAAATACCTCGCTGTGAAAGGATTCGGTAGCAACGTCACTATCTGGTTTGGACATGTTTGGACGCCGTGAGGAACAAACGTTGCGCCTCTCAAGTGCAACCAAGTCAAGAGTCACCTCCTTTTTCCCTTTGAAATTGTACTGCTGGCTGCGATGCTTTCCACCTCAGGCGAAGCTTAATGCAGACTCTTGATCAATGCTTTACAATTTACAATCCAAATAGGGTGGCTTTGTAAGTCAGAAGTCAACATTACAGTCCTGTTCTGGTTGCGCAGAATGTTATACTTTGGGGCGTGGACCTGGAAGCACAAGCTGAGCTTTCACCCCAGCCTCCCCAACATGCATTGCAGCTTTCTTCGTGGCAGGAGACTTCAAGAGAGGCAGCTTGGCTTGTTTTCACTGATTAAGTCTTGTGGACTTGGTGAAGGAATTGGGTACCCAGCCCCAACCCCCGCCAGTGGTCGGCCATTTGGCCACTGGTGTTGGGCAAGACGAGCGTGAAGGCGAAGGACGAGGGGCTGAGACCGGTTTGGGCGTCCGTTGGCCGGCGAAGCAGTTTGGGTCGAGTGTTGGCTTTGGATGGCTGGAATGGTTGGTTCATGAGCTTAGAAGGAGAACCGTCCTGGACATCTTGGAAGGAGTCAGCCCAGTACAACCATTTCAAGCTGGAGCCTCCAAGGAAAGCTTTCCATGAAGGCTGCTTGCAGCATGAGAGACAACATCAGAAGCTGGAGACCCTTGGCGGCCTTGGTGGGAAGGGTTGGACCATAGATAGCAATAAGATTCATTAGGTGTAAGAGACCATGTCGCACACTTAAAGGTGCTGGTTATATAATGTTATATAGCTGCTTTAAATGAAATTCATGAGTCCCCCAAACCTGATGCACACAGCAGCATCCTGCGATCCAATGCAACCAATCCTATGTCTTTCTGGCTTGTGTAAGTGACATACAGTGACCATTTGTTGAAGGACCTCAGCACTTGCGTATCCATTGAGGCCCCTGGCCACTGGAGAGATGCAAGAGCTGCTCCCCAAGTGAGGAGAGAACAAGTAGCAGCCGAAGCGTGGCCGGAGACCTGTGGCTTTGTCGACATGGGAAGTCTCCCCAAGAATTTGTATTTCCCTTTTGCGAGGGGCCTTTCGAGCCTCTGACAGATATTGTCCCTCGGGTAGGATGTAGGATTTAGGAACCTGTTGGGATGCTCCAGAAATGGGAGGCCCTTTAATTGATTTGCACCAGACCTGACCTGCTCCATGATACGAGCTAGTCATGTTGCACGTTTAACGTCACCAGCCTCAGCCAAGCAGCTTGAGACTTTAAAAAGTCCGCATTCTATGCGTGCGCACAAAGCCCGCAACTGGTGCAGATGACCCATTGGTTCATCATGTGTTGCAACCGGTGTGTTGGCTCCAGTCTCAGCGGCTGGCATGTCAGTTGTGCAACAATCATCGCAATCCAGCATGCCACGTAGGCAATCCAGCATGTCACATAGTCAGGGCCCCATATTTTGAATCAATGACCTCACTCAGTGTGAAACCACTCTCTGGATACAATCGTGAACTGCCTGACGCGCTCGTGTCACCTGTCACTGGTGTGGCCCTTTTGAGGGCCCAGTCCTTAGATGTCCTCTGCTTCGTACCGATCGATCGGCCCGGGACCTCGGCCCCGGATCAGGCCGGAACCGGCCAGCGGCCGAAGCGGCGCCATGAACACGACGATTCTATTGGCCATTTTGCCATTCGTGGTCCTTGTGGATATGATTGGGATCGTGCCGCGGCTTGGAAAAGACGACCAGGTGATCCAGGTGCTTGGAGAAAGGGTTTCAAGAGATTTCAAGAGACCCCCAAAAAGGCCCAGGCCGCCATATGGCAGCAGAAGCTGATCATTTGGGGAGCATAAGGCAACAAACTTCTTGTGATCTCATGTCACCATAGGTCACACTCTGCGAAAACACATCGTGTTTGGTGTTGAAAACGGATGCTGGGGGAAGTTGTCTCAGTCTCTCAAACCTCCCCGTGATTTTGGCGTTTCACGCTGCCCGTGTGCGGCTCCGAGGTTGGATTCACAGCAGTCGGATTTGGACCTTTGGCAGCTTGGGCGGCAACTCACTGGCCGTTCGAGAACGGGCCGTTCTCGTTGGCGCCTTTGAGGGAATGCGGCCGTTTGCGGTCAAAGACGCTGGGTCCCAGAAAAGGATCCCAAAGACAACGGGGCGATGCAGGGTGGAACAGGTTTGGTCACGGTGACCGGCGAAGTTTCAGAAAGCGATGAGGGGAACCTCCTCCAATCGTTTGTTTTCACGCTGTTATGGTGTAGGCCGCAAGGGACAGCAGTGTGGGCTTGTGAGGGATGAGAGTCTTCTTTCCCTGTGCCTTAGGGTGATTTGGGGTGCACTTGTACTTGTTGGGTTCAGGCTGCGATTCTAAGTCTGATTGAAATTGGCATTGAGTTCAAGTCAGATCCCATCATTTATTGCATGCTAAGGTCTACAACTCAGTGGCCGATGCCACAATGAATCTGGCTGCTTGGTTGGATTGCGACCCTTTGGGACGTTTTGGAACCGTTTGACTAGGGTCACTCCACTAAAATTTTAGAATGTTCACTATATAGCTGCTAGCTCCCTTCAGATCTCCTCCGATTTGAGTGACCTAACCTCAAGACTCAAAACCAATAAGTCTTGACATGTTTTACACCTTTTGATACATATCATACATCGACATAGAGCAGGAGTCTTATCTAACGCACACCTCTGCCGCATGCCTATAAGCATTATATATTTGTAGTTATTTGTTGTATGTGGTTTCCTTGACCTTTCTTGGGTTTCGGGCGTAATGCCTGAGCCTCTCGCTCCTGGCGCAGCTCCGAGGTCGGGAACGCGGCGGCAGCCTTCACGGGCTTGTACTTGGCAATCTTATTCATCTTAGATTTCAACCTGATGCCACTTGGGATGATTGGGATGGAAAGGGATGTGTAGATATGTGCAGATTGCAGCGAACAAAGAGCCTCACAAATGGCTGGCCAAGTCAAGGCTTTCGCGAAAGCAAATGGATCACCTTGTGTATCCTTGTGTGCTGGTTCAGTACATCATCCATGTCATTCCACCCAGCCTACACCCCCCCCGTCACCAAAAGCTAGACGAGGAGGTACGGTGGCAGACCTGGACCCATTTCCCAGCCAACGGTCGTGCAATTTTGGTGGTGGAAGCTCACGATGCCCACTGCGACACGCGACACGCGAGTGCGACACGCGAATTCCGCAAGACGCAGCACTTGGGGATGACCGAGAGCATCTAGAGCCAGCCTACCAACAACCCAAAGAAAGCCTGGCATATACTGGCTGCCCCAAAATTGACAAACAAGTGAAGTCGATGAGCCGTATATCGATGAATCGGTGATGGCTCTACTATAGCCAGCCATTCGGAGCCATTCTTGGAGATGAACTCCCAAGTGACAAACAGCTCCAAAGGCCAAAGGCTTTCCTCTTTGCTGTTGGTCTACGCGCCCAGGCCTGTCGTGGCGCAACTCTTTGGCGGAGTTTTTCTCATAGGCTGGGCGGCGGGCCGTTGGTGGACAAACGTGGAGACGCCACCCCCGAGAGACCAACCAAGCGTCAGACAGGTTGACGTACTTACGTACTTAAGGTGATGCATCGCTTGCGCCATGTACAGAATCTGCGCTAAGTTGATACCAATTGCAGCATTCGCATTCTGTTAGGGACTAGGGGCTGGCACACAGACATGTACGTCAAGGAACCGCCTAGGATCCTTGGACGAACCGCAGAATTACATCCAAACACATCGAGTCATCCACGGTCTTTCCACAGAAAAAAGACCACTTCAAGTCAAGGAACTCAGGTCGACAGGGCTCAGGCTTCGCATCGACAGGGACCCTGTCAACCTGCGCCCTGCGTCGCCGCGCGACGCAGGTTGCGTTTTTAGCGTCGCTGTCCTGAAGGGGATCGCGTACCCATGGGCCGCGGCCTCGAAGATGTCGATGTCATGGGGTCGGACTGAATCGTAAAAAGGGATCACCAGAAGAAAAAAGGGTGGTCCCAGGTGGGGTCATATCATATCATACCAATATACTGTCATAATATCCAATATGTACTTAAGTGTTTGTTTCTTTGATTGATTGCTTGTTTGCTCTGTTTTCGTGCATTGGAACTGATCTTCGAAGCAGTTCCAATCGAAGAAAAGGGAACGTCCCGGTGCCGCACTGTGGGAGGCTGCTGGGCTTTTCTGCATTGCCCTGCCCATCCTCTACATGGGTTGGCTGCGGGTGAACAGCTCAGCGCTTTCGGTCGACCTCGCCGGAAATGGCGACCGCGGTGCCGTTGACCGGCCGAACGCCGTGTGAGGGAGTGTTCTGCCAAGGCCACGGTCTTCGAGCCACGGAAAGTGCAGCCGGCTGAGCTGCTTGGCCATGGGGATGCACACATGATATGATGGAATTACAATTATGATGGAGTATTGTGCACTCTTCCGAATGTGGGCGTAGCTGTGTAGCTGCTAGCTGCTTGTTCAGATGGTGCCCTGTTTACATGGGATCTTTTCTACAGGTTGAAAATAGAACATGCAGTCACCGTGTAAAGTAGATTGCAATTTTGGCGGTGGACCCATTGCAGGAAGTACCAATAGATCTCATTGAAGAGAGCAAGAGCACCTCCAGCACGTTTTCAGCTGGGCTGAGGTTTCTGGCCCCAACTGGTCTCACATTCATGGTGGCCTTCCTGGTGATTACTCTGGCACCAAGCTTAGTCACTGCCAAATTTTGCCTAGCTCAGCCAGCTGTAGTCAAGAAAGTGGTGAAACAACTAGAGGTGTCCAACGTCAGAATGAATGCTTGAGAGACCAACGATTCATCAGGTAGGACTGATGAATTCGTCAGGTATGGCTGGTCTTCGTCTTCGGGACGGGCCGCACTTGGAGTGAAGAAACAAAGCCGTTGCCTTAGACAAGGATCATCTAGGATCTTCCATCAACAGGAATATTAAGTTGATTCTCTACTTGGTGGTAACTGCGGCTGCATGGCAGCAGCACACGCATATCAACAGCCAGTTTGCGGAAGCAGGGGGTCGGCGGTGTAGCCGGCTCACTGTCTTCAGATTTCTGGCATTGCTGAGGAGTGCCGAGGTTTAATTGTGTCCTTTACGAGTCTCTATGCCGGCATAAGGCTGTGGCTGACCGAAGAGAATGACCGGGTGTACGCCTACTTGTGGCAAGATGGGAACACGACGCTGAACTACAGTGCTCACTGTTCAAATTCCAAGAACATCTCCGCGTACAGACACTCGGCACAGTTTCCGAGGGCACTCAAATCAAGAGTCTGATTGTTTGCTTAGTTATGCGTGTTGCCAAATTGAAAAATGTCATGAAGATGGTGACCAAAGGTAGTGATGAGCAAGCTACCATCCAAGCAGCATGCACCGCAGCTGCCAATGCGGCTTGGCGGAGCAAGATTAGCAAGCTTGGGCAGCGTTTGCACATACGTGAGGTGTTTGCAAGCTTTTTTGGACACCCCCTGCGTCACTCAAGAGTTTGATCAGTCGAGTCAACCTGCTTGAGAGAAATGAGAGAATAGGTTGGCGTGGGCGTCAGGTTTCTTGGCATTGGGTGGTTGGTGCTTTAAGTGACTAAGTGGCTGCGCACACATCCGGCACTGCACAGGTGTGGTTTCTGCAGTGGTCAGGCCCCTTTGTTCTCGCATTTTGATCCTCGGATGCAGCGTGAACCTCCCTGTCACGGGAAAGACCTGAGGGCAAGGAGACTTTCTGGGGAGTTAACATGAGGGTAATAATAGTGTACATGTCAGAATCTGGATCAATACTGTACTTAAATATACTTAATGTTGGCTAGCTTTGGTCTGCCCAAATTGTCCGGATGAGATATCCATAGCTCCACCAAATAACCAGAACCTTTGCCACCTCACGACATTGCTTGACGATTGTGTCAGTTCTTGGGCGGCCTGACCCTTGGTGCACATCACACCCCACAAGAAACGCAAGGATTGGCACCCCAAGGGCAATTTTGCACATAAGGGCAGAGCATAGTCAGCAAATCCGTTCCTTTGCCTCGCAATTCTGCACTTGCTGTATCGTTCGACCCAAGACCATTCAAGGGGAGTGCTATAGAATTGGATCGCATGTTTTGGTGCAGTTTCGGTGGAAGCAAGTTCAGGCAGCTTTCACTTCAGTACTCATACCGTTGAACTTTGTAGATAAATTAACGGTCGGGAGACCAAGGTAAATCTGAGGGCTGCCACACATGGAGACGCCTCTTTTTTTCTCAAAGCTTTCCTTTAAGGACAATTCTGCTCGCAGTTTTCCCAGCAGAAAATGGCTTGGAGCAGGGCCTCACAGAGCCAAACCTTCTGTGTTCTCGATGGTTTGAGGCAACTTGGTCACAGCCCTGTATGCCGTCCTGTTCATCAACGTCTCCAAGCGGATTGTCATGGTGGGCCCCGGCGTCGACCCCAACACCGAGGCCGCACGGGGCACAGCGTGAGCGAAGGTAGCAAGGTCCAAACCAACCTAATAGGGATGGCCTCCAGCGGGCTTGGCGATCTACACACACATATATATATATATATACTGTATATACATACACATAGGTGAACATAGGTAAAGCACAGTGATCCAATCCAGTGAACCAACACAGATAACAAAGTTTAGCACTGCAATGTCATGTTCATATGGGCACAATGTTACACTGTTAGTGTTCTTCAATGCGAGCCACGGGTCCTTGCGCCATCTCGTCCTTTCGAGCACGTTGCCGCCCCGCCACGTCTGCAGGTTGACTCATTGCCGTATTTGAAGCAGATTCTCAAGGGCAGCATGCTGGTGATTGTGTCACTTGGTGAACTCGTCGTAGGTGTTTGGCGAAAACTCCGGAGCGCACTGAGGGCATTGGAGAAGGTTCTAACAGGAAAAAACGGCTATGGCATGCATCAACGACTTTCTAGTGGTCAAGTTTTCCTTGAATGTGTTCCGGTTTTCATTTGCTGTCCTTTTCACCCTGAGGTTAATGTTAGCCGCGATGTATGCAGCTGCCTCTTATGTGGCCCGAAGCAGAGCTTGAAACTTCAAGCCATGGGTTTGGAGATTTGGGCAATGTGCTGCCGCAGAACAAGAAGGATGAACGATTCAAGATATATATGTAATCGACTTATGTCCGCATCCGTGAATGTCCGCGCGCTCTGCATTTATATAAGGGTTCCTGTCTTGAGCTCCAGTCAGCTGGCTGCTCAACCACCTTCTTTGCAAGCTAACGGCAGGGGAGGGGACTGGTGTCGACAAGATGTCAGCTAACCTTGGGCGAACTGACATGATTGCATCTATAATATATATATATATATATACACATACAGCAGACATCACCAAGGGGACGTTTCAAATGTGGAACAGGTTCAACAGATCTTTGTAATTGAAAGCGGGCACCCGCCTGAATAGGGTAAGGTGGTTCTTATTGATTCTTTCATAGGGTTGGAAAAGGGGGGTGGCAAGGGGGGGTCAGGAAAATGGAAAAACTCATTTGGAGATGTTCGAGTGGTACCGAGTGGTACTGAGTTCATTTTCGCTTCATCTCAAGCCTCTTCACGAGATTCTCTACACTCTGGTGGATTTTCTCACCAGAAGGCATCTTCCAGGCACTGTCCACTTTCGGGAAGTGCGATTTCACTGTAGCCTTTCTCATGTCAGTGAGCAACAAATAGAGTGCAATAGTTTGAGCGCTAATCAGTGCTTAGTGAGGCTTATTAAGCCTCAATAGCATCAATAGCTCTCTTGAGACAAATTCCACTTAGTAAGTCTTAATAAGCCTTACTAAGCACTACTAAGGCTTAATAAGCCTTACTAGGCATTACTAAGGCTTAATAGGCCTTACTAAGCACTACTAGTGTTCAGCCTTGTCTCCATACATAGCGCTCAGCGGAATGATTTATTTCATTTTCCTACCCCCCCCTTCCCACCCCAGGGTAGTGACCCTATGATTCTTCAAGGCGTTGAGATTCTCTTTGGCATTCTGTAGTGGCTCGATTTGTGATCAATTTGGTTTCGTGGACTATATATCGGGCCCCTTGTATTTACCAAGTGGGACATTTCACACATCCTCAAACCGCACATCCTCGTTGCAGAGGATGGTCCAGTTCATGACCAGTGCCTCATTATGCCTCATTGTTTGGAGCTGATGTTTCTGCAGTCAATTCTTTCACGGCACCTGAGGTCTCTGGGGCAGCTGTCTCCTTGGGTTCCGCAGTGTTCTGCCTTGGCGCAGTCACCATCGCGGGCACCCTGGGCTGGACCGGCAATCCAAACCTTGACGATCAGGGAAATTGAACAAAACCAACCCCTGGGCAGAGGAAAGTACTGGTAGTGTTTGAGATGCATATTTGCTTGTTTGGACGCAGGGACTTCGGGAAGCACACTGGTATACATTGGTAGGGAAAGGAACTACAACAGTTGTTGGAACGACCCGGTATTCATCGAGACTGGCATGTAATTTCAATGTTCCAGACAAGTTGCTGAAGCAGTGGCCAACATGTTTCAGAAATTATTGCTTGTTTGTCCATGTCCCCTAAATCCCTACCTTTGTGGAGAAGTTCCCATCAAGTGCCTCAGCTCAATCGACACATTCATTGAATGTACTCCAGATCAGATTTCATCATACAAAAGATGCACTGGTTGGAGGGTCTTTGGTTCACATCAAGAGTCCGTCGTTCTAGTACACTGTAGCAGGTGTTTCTGTTCACGTCCATCGCAGGATGTATGTTGAGATCGACCCTTCTCAGCTCAAGCGATTGGCAAGCGAGGGGCAGATGGCCAGATGCTGAGCTGAGTTCAACAAACAACAAACGACGACCGACAGCACCCGAAGATGGGGGTATATTGATAGCAAAATGAAGAGCACACTGTTTGGTGCTTGGTGCTTGGTGCTCGGCATCTTTTGGTCCGTGTCCCTCCCTCCACGCGCCTCGTCAGCGAAGCTCCCAAGGCCACCCAACTCCTGAAGGTCATGAGATCCGAGTGGGTTCGCGTGTCTTGCCCGAAACGATGAGAAAACAAGGAAGCACAGAAAGAGGGAGTAGACTAGATGAGTAGATGTCAGGAGTTGATCGCTCTAGCTGCACTTTCAAGGGAGTGAAAGGAACACTTTCCTCGGACCAGTGCCTCCAAAAAAGGCCTCAAATCAAACACAGTGGCACGTTGAGGCCATTGCGGTGGGCTGCCTCAACGTCCTGATCCCTTTGATGGCAGCTTGGTGGATCCAATGACTGGCGACCTCGACGTCCGGGTCCGCACCGGAACCTGCGAGCCTGCCCCTTTTTCGGACGCTTTCGGGACCGCCATCGGGTGGGAGCAAGGGGCATCAAGGGGCCCGCACGTGGAAGAAGAGGAAATGGGATAGAACCTAACATCTATTGGCCATTCTGTCAGTGTTTTCTTGGACCTTTGGGTTTTGACGGACCTAATTAGTTGCCACTGAATATTGGCAGTCACCGTGGTACTTGCCATTGGCCGGTGTGGTGCGCTGAGGCTGTTCTGGACATGGCCAGGCAATGCATGCGGAAATTCAGAGGCGGATGACTTGCTCTTGTGGTTGATTGTCGGAGGCTGCGAGTGGAATTGATGTGTCGGACCATGGTCCACGGTGTTCTAATTTGGGGTCTCACATGGGTGTGCCATGCGTTATGCATTAGCACATATTAGCATAATAGATTACAATAGCTTCGTGCTTCCTTTTCAAGAGATGGCATGCCGCACGCGACCCACACAGCCAGGCACAGCAGAAAACAAAGAAGATAAGTTCACGCGGCGAACCGAGAGTTGTGCACTAGTTACACTACTTTCTACTGAACATTGTGCTGTGTGTCGCTGCTCGCTTCCATTCCCAGAGCCAAAAGAAGTTCAAAACGATGCTTTTCGTTTTTGACTCACCGCTCCAACATGAGTATTGCTGTGTATTGCTTCATTCCTCCCCTACGCAGTCGTACTTCGGTCGCATCGCGAAGGTCCACTGGTCGGCGCATCGCCGACGAGTGCAGTACGTGGAATTGGTGCGGCATTTTGACCAAGGCCGACCGGGACGGGTCGGTTCGCACCGAGCATCGAGTGGTGCACTGCTGCTCAGTGCAGCTTCAAGAGAGACGGCCCTGGGTCTGAAGACGGCCCTTTGTTTGTCCCACGAGAAGGTCCCGGTCCCATGCGGGTAAGTACGGGAGTGAACAATATATGAGTAATATATGTATACACCTCCAAGTGTATGGCAGTGAGGGTAGCACCAGCTTCTTGTCAAATTGAAATCCTACACTTTCTCGTTCACCATTGCACTAGGCTCCAGAGTGGGCCTAGAAGCGTAAGTCTCGTAAGTCTCGGGGAGCTTTTGCGATGGTATCGGAAGAATTTCTGCACCACCACATACCCTGCAATATCACTCGTCGTGACACGGATTTGCCCACTTGGCTGTGAGTCAAAGCCTAAATTCGAAAGAATGATAGGTTGGGATCCCTCACAGGGAATTCTGCTCATTTGTGGCCACCTGGCCCCGGTTTTCACCGCCACTTGGCCACCAGGTGCTTCTCCTTGGTGAGGTTTTCGTGGGGGCCTCAGGGTATCTCAGGGTGCTTGAAGTGAGCAGCAAGTCGGCCCTGTTTGGTGGAATTGCTGGAATTGCAAGGCTTCGTGGGATGAATTTCTAGCCACGTCCTCCACGTTTTCAGCCTATCATGGCAGAAGTGGGGTTCATTTTCAACTACTTGGATGACTGAAGAATTTCAGGTCGCGCTCTTGATTGGCATGAAGGCTTGTTCGGGACGACGGTCGCCATCGAACCAAACACCCAAGTGTCGAACGCGTGCCGTGTGCGGCGACAAAAACCGCTACGAGAGCCCCACTGCGCAACCATTCCAACTTCAAAACTGCTGCTTAAGGGGCTTTCCGGCAACTCCCTGCTTGGGGCATATATTGCATATTTTTTGCCACGGGGCAATGGCGACGTGACACTCTCCCAAACTTGTTGAGGTGACTTATGTCTTCTTCTCTTGGTTGAACACAGTTCTTGGAGTGCGCGCCCAAGAGCCTGCAAGTGGTTGCCTTGGCCACCTATGCAGCGAGGATCTTTCGTGATTTGTTCATGGCACGATGTGATGTACACATTAGTGCTCATACTCGCCTCTCTTGCTCAGCATTCCTCAAGTATGAGGTTTTGGTGTGGTTCTGTTTCACTATCGGGAGAGCTTCCAAAGGCCTCTTAGATGGCTTGCTCCTTCATATGCAGAGAGACCTCCCCAGATGAGCAGAACCAGGGTTTCCCTCCATAGACTTTGGAGCCAAGGCCGCGAACATCAACTTTTGGATGCTCTCCGTGCCTTGGTCGTTCACCGAGGATTGTTGTTTTTTGTTCAGATGCAGGTCTTCCCGGGTGCAGGTCTTCAAGGACGCAGGCACTCCTCGAGGAAGCTGGATCAATGTTTAACTCTTCAAAGGCACCTCCACCTGGTTTGTTTTCCCACCAGGTACTCAACGGCTAGGAACGTTCAGATCCCTTAAAAACATGAAGCCAGCTGAATCTAGCAAGGGAGGTGTTTGGGAGCCTCCCTGGGAAGCTCTTAAGTCATGGGGAGTACTTGATCATGTGTACAGGTCACGTAAATAATGAAAAGCATGCCCAGCACACACTTCATACGCACTTCTTTTTTCAGCTAGTTGTGTAGAGCTGTCAGCCGTAGAAGCATAACCCTTTTTTTCACCTCAACCGTTGAGTCAACGGCACAGCCGGAGCGCGTCATAGTGTTGATTGCACGTCGCTGGTGAGATTTGACATGGGTTGACCGACCACCAAGAAGATGAGGTGACTGACTGTCCTGCAAGTGAACCAGGTTGACGCATTAAACGCCTGAAGTCAATGAAGCCGACGTTTCGTGCCACATTTGTTCGCACGCCTTGCTTCCTTCCTCGCACGGCTGAAGCCCCACGAAATAATTGGACCACGGATCGTGACTTGCCCAAAATAGGAGAGGCCGGAAATGTAGTGTTTGGTGTAGGGTGCAGGAATGATAGCGCGGGCAGGTTCACAAGAACCCCAGGGCTGACCTAATTGAACCAGAGTTCTTCGATGGAAGCCTTTCCACCTTGCGCAGTTGGGTTTGTTTGGAGATATAGGCACAGGTCCTTAGCCGCACACCCGTGCACCGACCTCCTGTTGGTGTCCTTTGTGCCAAATCTCCATCCTTTTCGCTGCGTGCAGGTGCTCATTTTCGTCATCGGCCTGGGGATGTTCTTGTGCCCCATCGTGCCTGGAAGCGCTGTCTATCTTTTCGCTCCCTGGACCAAAAAGGCAGCCATCCAGGAACTCATCATCCCGCCATCACATTGATGGACGGTTCTTTCAATCTTTTTTGGCTTGTTTGTGCTTTAGCTGCGCACAATGGCAAGGGGGCTGTAGCATGCTGTAGCCGACAGATTATGCATGTTTATGATTGGTTGACTTCAGGGAATGGAAGAGGAACTCTTGAAGTAACCCTAAAAAAATCCGGGTTCAGGGTGAATTCTTAGGTTTGACGACTAGGCTACCATTACTTCCGTTTCTTGCTCATATATGATGCGTTTGATGGATTGCAATGCCCACATGTGGACAATCGCTGCATTCCTCCCTGAAGAGTGGTGGGCTACCCAGCACCAACAACCGATACACCGAGGCAGGGGTGGTCTTGGGAGCTCAATCTCAATTACCAGACCGACCTGGCTTTGCTGCGGGGGTTGTTGAGACTTGGCTTGATTTGCTTAACCCTTCATTCACGTAAAGGGTTGGATCCGTTGGATTCATGACATGAAGTGGCTCCCCCAGTCTGGGTCGAGTTTTGATGTTGCTCTCTAGGTCCCTAGCTTGGGGTATGAGGCTTGCTGAAGATCACGCTGCCCCTGCCCTTCGTCCCCCGCGTGAGTGTTGCACGCAACGAAATCATTTTGCTGCATGAGGTAGCAGTGGTGATCAGCTCAGTGGCAAAGCATATTGCGCCCCTTGGTAGCAATGCAGGACTTCGCGAGCTTAACGGACGGATTGCTGGTCCGCCCATGCCAAACGCCAAACGATTATGTCAAGGTGGTCTTTGGTATCAAGGAGTCTTTATATAAGTCCTTCGGAAAGTGCTTCATTGTTATTGCCATTCCTCGTGCAATTTCCTTCGGAAAGTGCTTTGCCGTTCTATGTTAGTTGATGGTAACTGAGGTGCGTTGGCCAATATATGATCGGCTACTGCGCTGGGCAATCAGTGAAGGTTCAGCAGATGGTGGGTGTCGACCAGGCGCGATCCGCAACGCGGTTTGCGCAGACCAGTCTTGATAGATCCAAGTCTTGCACTTCCAAACTCCTTTCGAAATGACACTGTCCACTTCCTGAATGATGGAATGGCTTCGATTAGTGATTAGTCGTAGAGTCATCGATTAGTCATCAAGTCTTGTTTTCTCCAACCAGGTGGGAACCAGAGCGACAGAGAAGATCCTGAAACAGCCGGGACTTTCGCTTGGCAAGGTGGGACTAGACCTGACCTGACCTGACCGCGTGGGGGCTAGGCTGTGCCTTTTCTTCTCAAGTCCAAGAAACACATGTGACATGTATTGCGTGAGCATGGTGCTCATCCGAATCTCATTTTGGCCGTGTGCTCTTCAGCTCGGATAATTTGCTCATCCATCCCGAGCTGCTGACACTCAGGTGTGTATCCTTGTGGCAGGCGTGGGCACGCATGTTGAGGATGGATGACTGGCTGGTCAAACAATGTTCCGAATCTGTTTGGATCCAAAACTTTGAGCCCTCTTCTGTGAAGGGCTTCCGCAGACTAAAGAGCCCACCCCGCCTGTTGTGTCAGGGCCAGACTTCCCCACAAGCATGCTTTGCAGCTCGGCAGCAGTTCCACAAACAGAGGACCCACGAACCAAGCCCTTGGCGGCCTTGCACCTCTCGAGAAAAGCTGATGCCCATGAGCTACATACCAGTCGTTGCATTCCAATCTCAGGTGGGATCTTGAAGTTGAGAATTCCACAAATGCTGCTGGGCACAACCCCAGTGATTCTGGCCCGGACCCTAGAGTTCTACAGTAGCTAGAGGGGGTGATTCTAACATAGCTTCAGAAGGAATAATAGTAGGAGTAATGCTGTTTTTTATGACAACGAAAGGTTCGGTGTTCCTGTGCAACTCTGGGCATGAACTCTTGCGACATGCCCTTGAGGTCAGCATCATCCCACAAGTCCTTGTGGGTGCTTTGTTGACACCACTTGCTTGGAGCCTGCTGAACAAACATTGCCTTTCAGTGTAGAATGATCCTGGATATCCTGAGAAAAAGGGTTTGTCTCAAGATCCGGGATGCTTACACCGATCCCTAGATCATTCGATCCATTTCCAGGAATTCCCTCCCCAGATTCCCAAGAAAGTGCTTCATTCCTGTAGTTATCTTCCTTTTTTTCACCGTCGCATGGCGCCCTTAGGTACCAGGGTTCCTCAGCCGATGACAGTTCATCAAGTGTTTCCGCCTCAGCAGGGTATCCAGAGAGTTTCTTCCTAGAATCATCTAGAACCCATTTGAGATAATCCTGGATGGATGGGCGAGAAGGAGAGAGGGAGAGAGAAGGAGAAGGAGACAAACCATAGCATGATCAGAACATGTCCTCCGAAAATTGAGCTTTGGCGGCTGCTCTTTTTGGACATTTTGCTTCAATCATGGCCACGGGAGTTCGTGACTCTATAAACATGTGGTTGAATGCTAATTTCAGCACCACCGATCTCCTGTATGAAAGACTGATCAATCAAAAAGGCAACCTCTTGAAATCATCACCATCTCCAGTCGAAAAGCCTGAGATGGAGAGAAAAACTGCTTGGCTTGGGCTACATAGTGTTAAAGTGCGCACCAGTGGAGTTCAAGCGCAATAACCTATTTTATGAACACCTGCCCGGAAAAGGAGAGGCGCGCAAAAGTCCAACCGTTCAACCAGAAACACTGGATCTCCCCCTCTCTCCGGCAGTTCTGACCGATTTCGAACCGATTCTCGGTCTCCTTCGGGTCTCTGCGCGAGTCGCGGATCAGATAGAGTCGATGATCTCCACAGCGGTGACGGGCTTCGCGGCAGCTGCACAGGTGGAGCATGTGAAGCGTTGGGACAAGCTGCCATCATTTCTAAGATTTGGGGTGGTTTGGCTTTCTCAATTGCAGCTAGTCTTGGAGTTGGTGTCCAGATGATTGAGGCATGTGACATCGAAAGACAAAGATGACCAAGGATAATGGTCTTATATGGTGTTGATGGTGTTGGTTGAATTGTTCAAGCTGGGGCTATGGGAAAGACAGCTAGACACTAGGATTTCACAAGGCTTTAGATCTAATATGTATATAGGTGGTGTACAAGTCCTGAAGGTCCTTCAACACGCCTGTCGCTTGTGGACTGAGTATACTGCTTTGGCGCTTCTGAGTGGACGGGACCTTAAGAGTCACGACCGGGTGCACCGTTCTGTTGTTTCGACATCAACCCCAGCAGGCAAGTAGATTCTATGGTGTCGTTGTTCTTCCTTGTAAGGTTGGTTATATCATGTTATATTACAGTACTAGAAATGCCCCTGTTCCTAGTAGCTTCTTGTTCCTAGTGGTAAGGCCAGGAGCTATTAGTAGCGTCCTTGCTCCGAGTATGGCGTCGTTGAACTGGTTTGTGGAGTTCTTCTTCATTGGACTATCACCCTCGATCATCGTTTTTGCAAACCCTCCTGGGGGCTATGTTGGGAACTGGAAATAAACCGATTCAAGTGGTGAGAGGGCCTCGGCACGGGTTGTTGGTGGAAGGTTGGGAGGAACTTAACATGGCCAAGTAAGGCCAAGTACCGCAGTCATTGGGTTTGTATTTGTCAGTTGTCGCTGAAGACTAGAATTTAAGAATGTTTGCAGATTTGGCGAGCGGTCTTTTTACAATCGTGTGTAGATACACCATCCACAATCGTGCGCACAACATAGCGGTACATACATACAGGTAAATATATATACACATGATACCTACACACATCATATACCTATACAGTATATATATATATATGCCCCCTTGCACACGGCTTGTGCAGGCTGCGGCGACTTTCCTGTTTACCTGGCGCATCATGAAGACCGTCGAGCAGGAAGGGCTCGGAGGGGTGGGAATTTCAGCAGGCAGCGAGGCAGACAGAGAGACAAAAGAACAGAGGAAACTTGGAGCTGACTGTAGAACCTGGACGTGTTGGGCTTTGCTTTAGATCCAGGTGAGCTGTTGCAATGAGCTTAGTAAAGGCCACCCAAGCCACGTCTTTTGAGGGTTTCAACCATTTGTCGCCACCAACCGCCTTCTCTTCATCGAGGCCGAAGTTGTGGACACTCAAACAGGTACGGTAGAGACCTTTAGGTTTGAATGTAGCATTTCCATCTCTCTAACCACCCTCTCCCATAATAGAACGAACCTTTGTCCAAGCGCATGCTTTTCCTTCTGTGCTCTTGCTGGACAAGCTTCAACTAACGGAATCACTGACACCAGGATAGTGAGGAGCTCACCAAGTACCGAGAGGAACATGCAGCCGTGGCGGCCCTGACAGCTAAGGCCGGTGATTGATCCATTTGTCGGGTTTGCTTTAGAGGAGCATGCAGGATGGGTGCACAAATAGGACAGAACTATGTGTTTGGACCGTGCATGAACAATGTCATGGGGAATGACAGTGTCCCTAGCTATATAGTAGCCGAGAGGTCGCAAACCGAGTGCACGTGTCTTGGGGATGGTGAAACCTTCAACGCTTGACATCGACCTTCGTCGACCTTCAGTTGAAATCCCCATGAAATCCTCCCCAGCTGTTCTCAGCTGCCCGGGGGGCGAAGGGCTTTTCTCCCCGCATGTCCGCCAGGAAGCGGAGGCTTGATCGCAGGAAGTCGCTGTGGACTGATGGGTTTTGGGATGTTTTGGTCCAAGAAGCCGAAGGATGGATGGGAAGCGGAAGGGTGGATGGATGGAAGAAATCAAACTTGCCCCATAAGCTGCACAGTAAGACCAGGGTGCCTGACCATCTCAGGCGATTTCTTCATTTCTTCCTTCAAAGATAAGAGAAGACCTACGGTTGGCAAGACAGGGCCCACGCCTTTCCCAGAGCACACTTGAGGCAGTGTTGGGGTTCGGAGTTGTGCAACCTTCCCACTGAAACATTGACACCAAGGACTACATGAAGGCTTACAATGACGCATCGAAATGGGATGTCTGGTGCTTAAGATGACACAGAGCTTGAGCCAGTTGCGGAAAGCACGAAGCAGTCGCCTTTGGTCCTCCTTCTTTGTTCTTTCTGAGTCTTTGGACTGGGTAACCCTGAATCCTTCGTGTCTTTTGGGAGTAAGACACATACCAGAGAGCAGCGGCACAATCCATTGGGCATTCTGATGGAAGCACAGCTCCAGTATATACGCTGTGTGCTTCCAATTTGCATATGCAGATACATTGCGCGCATTTGTGTGTGTGCGCGCATATATGTGCATCAAGAATATCGTCAGAGACGTCAACAACAGTTGCTTCAACATGATGCGATGGCCCCTAGAGCTGAAATATGCTGAAATGCAAGTGAGCCCCTCCGTCCCCTCCGTGTGTAGGACACGCATGCACATATATGTCACTTGTATGTTTGGATGCACACACAACTATACAGTGTATAGTATACATTCAGGTTTGCACACATGAATTACAATGTTTACATGCGTATATACCTATAGAGGCGTCCAGGTCTCGTGCCCCCACTCTCTTGTGTCAGACCTGCAACTGTTGTTCGTGCAATCCAGAACTCGGGCTTTGGGTTTCTACATGCCATCCCGAACAGTCTTTATTCAAACACAGGCCTATCTACAGATGGTGTGAGAACTTAGGTCATGACCTGCATCCAGCAGATGATTCTTCTTCTAGCTGTCTTCCTGATGCTGCTTGCAGGCTAGCCAGCACTCAAACGAGTGTGTAGGAGGGCACTCAGAGAGGCGAAGAAACTCTTACTTTTGGAGGGATCTAAGGGATCGGGTTTATCTTTGACAAGGTGGAAAGATGCGGCCAGCCCATTCAACCGATTGAAGGATGTAAGCATGGGCAGACCTTCCCGCCAGGCTTTCTCATAGCAGCGGACTTCATGCTCGCCGAGACTTGGCCGCGAGAGCCTAGCAACCAATCAAGAATGCAACTCCTTGCAGGCATGTGGCAGCCCTGTCCAGGAAAAGTTTTGCTTCCGCAACTTCGATATCACCAGCAAAATCTCCGACCCCTTCAACCTTGGAGGCGTTTGGAAAGAATAGTATGCATATTGCAGGGATTGGCAAACTCCTTTTTCGCGCGCAGGTTTAGACAACAATGCCCTGAATTTGGCTTTGGCCTTAAGATTCCAGTTCAAGCAAGCACGGCGCCACAAACACAACAGCTGGAAAGATGGTTTGCACCTGGCATGCGAGTCACCATGACCGATGACCTGCCAGGTGATCGTCCCAGTGGGCTGGCTGGCCTTGGTGATCACCGTAGTTGCAGTGGTGCCTTGGCTGGTGAGAAAAAGCGCTGGCCGGCGACGTTTCTCAGTGTCACACAGACCTGAAGAGGTGGGCCATGTGGTCTTCATGCGGATCATGGCGTCAGCGGCCAGAGCAAAATTGGAAGCCAGCCTTGCACACCAGGCTGGCTTTGCACGCCAGGCTGATGGCTTGTGTTTTTCTCCCCCTCTAAGGCCCTGCCTCAGATGGTGAATATCCTTCACCAATACTGCACCCTCAAGACATCCTTCACAGTTGATGCCAGCATTTAGGATTGGTTTGGGGGTGTATATTTTAGGTGATGTCTTTTAAGTGGTCGTTTGGTCATGTCTTCCTGCGGCTTTTGGGATGGCCTTTTGGCTTCCTGTGGCTTTTCATAGTGGCTTCTCAAATTGTTTTGTGTTTTCTTGACCCCTTCATTGCCACAAAAATCTGCAAAATATGTGTGATTTCCTCCCTGCTCCCAGCACCAGCTGTCCTTCTTTCCTGTTATTCCCTTTCCTTTTCCTTGCATTCTTCGCTTGAGGAGCCCTCGACCCAAAAGTTCTCTGCAACATCGTGCGCATCGCGCCCGCTTCCTTCTTTCCTCTACGTGACACCCTATATATATATATATATATACACCAGCTTTTATTGCTTTATCCTGGTCCTTTTCCTGGTGTCCTTTTCTGGGGGATCCCGGTCGAAAAAGGTGCCAGTTCTTGAAGTTTTGTCTTTTGACAGATCGTTCTGCCAACAGTCCCCTTCAGTTAAAGAGAGCTGTTTCTGTTCCAGGTGGACGGCCAGCCCACGCCAGACACCATTGGAAAGTCGGCAGCGCCACCACCGACGTCTGCAGCGCCGAAGTCCAAGACGGGGAAGAAGCGAACCATTAGCGAGGAGTTCTGAAGGCGAGGACGGGAACGCGCTCGAAAAGACACAGCTCGAAAGGTGGAACGAAACCACCGCGAACGTCGACCAGGTCGGAAGACGAAGACGTGCGAGCGATACTTCGCGAGCGATTCTGACCTGCAGCCACGTGAGGCACTGTCCCGGTTGAATTTGATCGGACTGAGCTTGATTGGCTCGCTGCTTAGAGAAGATGGTAGCACTGTTGATGCGGGAGCCACATCGCGGTTGTCACTTTGGGTCGGAAACTTGCCACGGTGATTTGTATTGAGATCTTTCACAGAGCTGCTTTCGGCGTTGGCTTTGGCACCCCCAAAGTCACTTTCAGCTTTGGCTTCCTTTTTCCACCCGGGTGAACACCGGACTCACAAAGTGAGCAACGGGTGAACACCGGGTGAAGCCTTCAGTGGGTGACAGTTCGTCCAAAGAGGAAGAACCACAAGACCCACGTAGACCCGGGGTTTGTTGCCGCACATTTGTGTCTAGCTTTCTCGGCATCTGGCGAGACAGGCAAGGGACTGGCCAGCGACGGGTGATATCTTCGAGGCAATTTCTATCCCCCTACGACTGTGGACGATTGTCAATGTGTCAGAAGATGTTTGGAATGTAGATCAAGATTGAGACTCATGAAAAGGTACCGCACCGAGAGAAATGCAACAGGCCTTTCAGCATAGATTGCGGCTGACAAAATAGTCTTCGTCAATTAAGCGGCAGACCCGGCAGATGTCAAAAAGTTCTCGCTTGCCATGCAACTGAAATTGGCAGCAAAGTGAGTTCAAGTCGGATACTGTCCCTTGTCCATGTCTCTCAATCATTTCGGATGCTTGCATTTCCACGCATCAATAGATATGAATGAACCTCAAAGCCTGGAGTAGAATCGAAGATTCACGACATGTTACTAGGAACAAGAAGCTACTACGTGGATGCCATCGCTACTAGGAACAAGAAGCTACTAGGGGCTCCTGGCCTTACTACTAGGAACAAGGGCATCGCTACTAGGGGCTCCTGGCATCGCTACCAGGAACAAGGTCGCTTCCTTCGCCTGACGAGTCACTCGGGGCAGCACGACGCCGGTCCGACGGACCGGCCATGGGAAGCCGAGCAGCTCACAACTGGAAACGAAGGTGCCGAGAAACGGGTGGACCCACCAGGTGGAGAACCAGAAGTTGGCCGCGAAGTGGAGAAACAAAAACAAACTCCATGTCTCAGAGCGGCACCTGAAGAATTTGTGGATTGGCGTCTTCTCGTCATAGGTTTGGTCTACAGGAAGCCCAAGCTGCTTCGGTCGAGTATATGTTAATATATGTTACTAATTATATATATATATACATATATGTTACATACTTTCCTCAGAAGTTTGCTGTAGAAAGACTTCTATGAGTGATGGAAAGGCAGAAGCTGCTGGAAAAGTCTTGGTCTCAGCAGCCTCAGCAACAGTGTCAACGTGTCAATGTGTCAACAGTCAGCCTTGAAATCGCTACTGAGGCATGGAGGTGGGAAAGGCACAGGCAGGATGTGCTGTGCGAGCCCTCATGTTTTGAACATGATGCCGCAGTCCAATCAATAAGGCCAATCCGGACATGGTTCATGGAGCCTTCAACAGGTCCTAGACTGTCATTGTGGGATATTGTAGGTGTGTTTTTTTTGTTAGGATTGATTCGAATTGATGCTAATGTTGAAGGCCAGTGAAGTCAATGAAGAGCTCAATCAAGAAGTGTGCTTGCTTATGTTTCTTTGCTCAGCTCACCGCCGAAGGAAAAGGGGGAAAGGACAAGGCCGTTGAAAGAGGCACGCCTGGACTTCATGTACTTTGCCATGCTGCATAGCGTTGCAACAGACTGGTCAGAAGCTTCCACAGATTGGACAAAGATTACCCTGAATTCCTGAAGCGCGAAATCAGAAATCATAGTTTTGCGGGAATAGAAAACTACACGGGCATTCGGGTAAACCTAAACTTGCGTCGAAGCCGCGAATCCGCGCGGGGGCGCGAAGCTGCGAGGCGTCGAGGCTTCGAAGCCGCAAAGCGTCCAAGCCGCCAAGCGTCGAAACTTCGAGGCGTCGAAGCGTGGAGGTGTCGAGGCGTCAGAGCCACGAAGCTTCCAGCCGTCGAATCCACGAGCCATGAAGACGATGCAACAGTGCGTTGAGATCAGACGCGATGCCAGCTGGAGATCAGTCGTGTGCTAGACGCAGCGCTCCACAATACTTGTACCAGCGTCTGGACACGGCTGAATGAAAACGGCCAAAGATCCACAGACTATCGCCGCGGACTGGTTGAAGAAAGGGCGTGTCGAAGTTCGAAGTCCATGAACAACGCAGGGACCTAGAGACAACACACACACCACATTCAGAGGACCAAAAATGTAGACATCAATAAGATTTTGAAGTCAGAACCTACAGCCTCCTCGTTCTCAACACAAGTCCCAAAGCCCGACTGTAGAATATAGAACAACATATACTCCCACAACAGCTCGACGCAGCACAAGACAACTGATGTTGCAACAAGAAGCATGTCGGAAGTGGAAAAGTTGGAATGGAGACGTGTCAGCGGCCTTCATGCATTTTGTGTTCCCACCGAAGACCTGTGTGAAACGATGCAAATTCCAAAGGAAAACGCCGCGAAGCCTCGGAAGTTTTGTTGCGGAATGGCACAGCCACCATTTGAATGGCATGAGCCTGCGCAAGAACATTTCTTGTTATTTGGATTCCGGCCGTCATTTGCCGTTCCCTGTTGCTGGATACTCCTAAACCAAGGATCTGTTAATGCCATCATATCAGGCCATGTCGATGACTGTATCCTCGTAGGAGACGAAAATGACCCAGTGTATCTACCGAGTGCGGGGTTGAAATTGATAACATTAATTTTCAGGACATACATGTCTCATGCAATCCCCATTCCGCTCAAAGGCTGAAGGACGAAAACCGGAAAAAAGAAACCGCCGACCAAGAGAAGAGCGCTCTTCGTGGGTGTCAAGTTGCGTTTTGTTTTGCTGGTTACGTTTCTTTGTACTTGAGTGAGGTTTGTTCCTCGACGGTTGAAACATTCATGTGACGTTGGTTCATAAAACCAGAGACGTGGCTGGGGAGGCGGTTTTTCCCTTCAGTTGAAAAGGGTCTGCGGTCCCATGGAAAGACGCCAGTAACCAGAGCCAAAGTTTAGGGGCTCCAAACGAAGGAAAAACCTTTCAAAAGTTTCGCCCACGCAGCAATGCAGCCACCGATGCCGAAGACACTCTTTACTGGCTAAGGTTTCAGTGGGCAGAGATTGCTCACCAGATGCTTTGGTGCAAAAAGGTGCCCGCAACATTGATCACTGACTCCGGAAGTGTTTATGACCAGCTAAGTCACCAGCTACAAGGGCCATATGTGTCACCCACGGCAGTCCAAAAAGGTCGGCATTGAGCTCTTAGCGCGCAGCGTTAGAGTTAGAGCCATGAAGCTTCGAGGTTTTGCGGCGTCAAAGCGTCCAAGCCGCCAAGCGTCGAAGCTTCGAGGCGTCGAAGCGCGCATGGAGGCGTGGAAGGACGTTGCCAGATCCATTTCCCCATGCCCTCGCTACAAAAAACAATATGCGAGGTCAGAATGTTGGATAACAAACGCAAAATACAACAACGGCAAAACTAGATAAACATTGACATGTGTGCTTGCATATTTCCTTTTTTCCCAAGTGCTTCTAGGTTAGTGCGGTGTCCTTAATTCAACACTTGTTTGAACGCAAGCCGTATTTCTGGGTCATGTACCGTTTTGCCTCTTCCATTTTTGTTTAAAAATGAAGCACGAAAGCGGGACTTCGTATGTCTCACGCGTCACAGCGGGTGGACAGAGTCGGATAAAGAACGCTCCTCCGCATTTCTCGGCCAGCTTCAGGGGCAACTGAAGGTTTTTTGATTAGCTTGAGGACTCACCATCAAAAGAAAAAACGCTTCAACATGGCTCAACTGCATTGGCGTATAAGATTGATTGCACCAGGCCGTTGGTTTCTGTCCATGATGCCCATGGTGCAGTTAATTATGTTTGCCCACTGGCCATTCCAGGGTTTTCCCAAACCAACACTTGTTTATCAAAGTGTGGGTTTCAACCTGCTGGCGTTCACTGTTCCACTCAAAACCGCCATGTCAAGAGCTGGATGCTGCCGGCCAATGGATGCCAGCCGTGCCAGTCGGCCACAAGTGGCCTTAACCTTTGTGGGCGTGAATTGATCGCACGATGGCCAGGCAGAGCTGCTCGACAGGAAGGGCGTGTGGCACCAGTGGGGCACAATCCTTTGTGATAAAACCACTGTGATGAAGTAGCGCCCAATCTAAAACCACTGTGTCACAGTGCCACATAAAACCATATGTAAAAGTTGACCTAATTGAAGTAGCACGTCCCATGTGTTGGTGTCCGAACTCCTGCCTGGTACTGAAGGTCCGCCGGATCTTTGGAGGACAAACCGGTCCCGTCGCATCGATAACATTCTTGGCAGACACTCGGCTGCACTTGGCCTGACACACTGAGCAACTGTAGAAACTGGCTGCTCTGTGGCCAATGCAGTCATACTGTTTGTATTTGTTTGTGTTTGTTGAAGTGGGCCTAAATGCTGGAAAGTGGGCCCTATTTGCACGATCTCAAGTTGTGTATTCCTTCATTTGTTGGCTTACCTCCAGAGAAAGGTTTACGGTGCGTGAATATGTGTGTGTGTGCCCCTTGTAGTCACAGGGATTCTTTTGAATTGTAAAATTGAGCAGGGGGACTGGAGCCGATTTGCCTATCCAGTCCAACGAAGCTATGGAATTTCGGTGGATGAGTGGTCTGATCAACCACTTGTACCTGCGCAATTTTTAACCTTTGGTAAAGGGCTAATGCATTTGGCAGACAAGAACGTACGTCGTCATGTCGACCTGCTTTCGGACTTGAGACTTTGGCCTCATCTCCTTTTGAAGACCCCAGGCCCCCCAGGTTCTCTTGGACCTTTCAGGATTTGGATTTCTTAGGCTGGCGTGTGGCACCGCTGTCAAGTCAGTACGCATATCCATAAGTGTGTCTCTCCTAGTGAGAGTCCGGGATGAGCCCATAGAGTGCCTCCCGTGGACCCGTCAAACGGAAGTTTGTCTCTGTTACCAATACCGCGGAAACGCACGTGCCCAGAGCGGGCGTAGGAGGCTTACGCCAGAGTTATTTGCCAAGATTTGTCGGAGTATTGAATTCCAAGTTGGCTTATGCCTTTACGTGACCGCAGCGGTCAGAGGTGGCCGCCCTCGGGCACGCCGTACGTGGTCGCAGCGACCGAAGTTTGTTCAAGGTTCATTGGAACCTGTCCCACTCTCAGGTGCACACACAGCGCATACATTCAAACGAGGCGAGGTCCCTAGGCGCTTCTAATGAGGTTTGGCTTCATCGGTTCTCGTCCCCTCCATTTGGTTCCCCTTTCATCCTTCCCCCTTCACGTACTTCTGTTTCCTCTTTTCTTTCATGTCCTCCTGTCTTCATGTCTGGTCATCTCATCCTTTGATGTTTGCGCGCACATTGGTCCCGGCCTTGGTGTGCACGTGCACTTCTACTTACATTTCAACACAGGTTTCAGGTCGCCCAGGTCTTTACAATGAGGTGGGCTTCATCGGGTGTCCCTGTGCACTTGGTTCCCCTTTCATCACAACCACACGCACCTTTGTCCCGTCTCGTCCTCCTGTCATGTCTTCGTTCTTTTGTCTCTTGCGCGCGCACACGTGCACATTTGCCTTCACCTTAGCTCTACGCCTCCCCTCGGGGAGGCGTGTGTGTGTGTGTGCCCCTTGTAGTCACAGGGATTCTTTTGAATTGTAAAATGATTTGTATTGAGCAGGGGGACTGGAGCCGATTCAACGAAGATATGGCATTTCGGTGGATGACTGGTCTGATCGACCACTTGTACCTGCACAATTTTTAACCTTTGGTAAAGGGCTAATGCATTTGGCAGACAATAACGTACGTCGTCATGTCGACCTGCTTTCGGACTTGAGACTTTGGCCTCATCTCCTTTTGAAGACCCCAGGCCCCCCTGGTTCTCTTGGACCTTTCAGGATTTGGGTCTCTTAGGCTGGCGTGTGCCACCGCTGTCAAGCCAGTATGCATATCCATAAGTGTGTGTGCACGTGTACGTACGTGTGTGTGTGTGTCAACCCCTGTTCCAAAGGGTGCTACTTGATAAACAGGGGGACGGGACACCTCTGGCATTTCCCGTCCAACGAAGAGGATGCCAGCAGGTGCTGATGCAGTGGGGGACGCCCCACTGTGTACCTGTTCCATCAACTGTTGCTTACGCTGTCCAATCTTTCCTTTTTGGTTCCATGGTGGTTCATGCTACTTCCCCTAAACCCTTTCCGTTGCCGCTCGCGCGCGCTGCCGTCGCACCACTGCAGATGAGAAACTTCAATGTTCAAACACCTTCAAGTCTTTGGACCTTTCACCATGCCGTTCCATCGCCTTCCTTCTCGTCGTGGGAATTGAGTAAACAGCAAACCAATGTCAGAGTGTGAGCCGCTCAGCCGTCCCACTTGGGTGCTGGGTGTGATCCTCCGCAAGGAGGCGCAGTTTTCATACCGGAAATAATTCAACGGATGTCTTACTGCGCTTGGACTTCCACCGTTTCAAAACTGAATTAACTGATCCAACAGCCGTCGGGCTTAAAAACGAATTTGACAGCCGCCGGGCTTAAAAAACGGAATTCACCCCACTTGAGGCAGATCTCCCAACCCCTCCCCTGAGTTCTACTCCCCACCTAATTAGGGCAACGCAGGGAAATGGTACTCGACACACTTGTGTGTGTCGGTGCCTTTCCCTTTGTTGTTCCTGTTCTAGTCTTCTCTACCCGGGCGGTCTAAGACTAAAGTTCCGCTCCCTAACTATTGCATTTAATTCGCCGCTAAGTAGTCAGTAACTCTAGAGTGCTAAGTAGTCATACACACACACACACACGGACACACGCATGCTACACACACCCCCTCCCTGCCCCCCCTTTCTTTCTTACGCTTTCGGTCGTTTCTTAGGCTTTCTCTCAGGCTTGTTAGGTTGTTCTTGAGGCTCGTTTCCCTGCCCCAGTCAAGGGCTAAGTATTCACTTTTTTCTACACCTATCTTTCTCTCTTGCCCTCTTAGCGCTGCTCTTTCTGTGTTTCTTTCTTTTGTTCCTAAGGCTTTTTAGGTGCCTATTCAGGTCGTTCGCACGAGCGCCGCAAAGCGGCGCCGTGTGTGTGTGTGTGTCAACCCCTGTTCCAAAGGGTGCTACTTGATAAACAGGGGGGCGGGACACCTCTGGCATTTCCCGTCCAACGAAGAGGATGCCAGCAGGTGCTGATGCAGTGGGGGACGCCCCACTGTGTACCTGTTCCATGAACTGTTGCTTACGCTGTCCAATCTTTCCTTTTGGTTCCATGGTGGTTCATGCTACTTCTCCTAAACACTTTCCTTTGCCGCTCGCGCTTGCTGCCGTCGCACCACTGCAGATGAGAAACTTCAATGTTAAAACACCTTCAAGTCTTTGGACCTTTCACCATGCCGTTCCATCGCCTTCCTTCTCGTCGTGGGAATTGAGTAAGCAGCAAACCAATGTCAGAGTGTGTGTGCGCCTTGTTTTATCACATTTGTTCATTCGTTTGTGGAATACGTGAGCGTCGTTCATGTTCAACAAGGACAAACACGTGACACTCTTCAACCTCTCAAATAATTGAAGTTTTTGCCGTATTTATTGGATTGGCAGGGGCTGAGAACATCAGACAGGCAAATCACCAGCACAGCAAAAAAGACAGCAAATTCGGGTCCTTTAACTTCTGATCGTGCCAGGTTTGCATTACGCGAAGAGCCGCCCCACGCCATGCGCGAAGTCAGCCGCAGCATTTGGACTGGCACGAAATGGCAACCCGCCCCTGAGCATCAAGATGCAAGGATATGTTTTGTTGGCAACCTGCTTTTTTGCATGCATGTGCCCATATGTGAACTAGATTAATGGTTGCCGAAAGAGCCCACCTGTTTGGGAACTCTCTCGTGTGAGGAGAACCCGATCAAAAGTCTAATCAGGCGCCATGTTTCAGTCAAATCACCGCAAGTGTGAACGCCACATCTGTAAAACAGCGCAAGCATGTGCTGACGCATCAACATACAGCCAGCAAGGTGCCTCGGAGATGATGGAGGCGGTCTACGATTATGTGCCTTCAGAGGATGAGACGCGGATGATGCAAGAAGAGCTCCAAAAGATCGGGACACTCGAGGCGGGAGCCTGTAGGAGCTTGTGGGAGCCTACGGGAGCCTGCGGGAGCCCGCCTGCGGGAGCCCGCCTGCGGGAGCTGATGGGGCCGTCAGATGTGTCAGTTAGAAATCAACGTTTTGGAGGGTCGCACTGTCTACTGGGACCTGATGTTTGTTGCAGACTGCAATCCCTCGCACTCCTCCCGCCACATTTTTCTTCGAGGACCACCAGGCATCAGCCCTGCGAGCTGCAGTGGATGCGCAGCATGCCAAGCGCAGCTGGTATGAGCAACTCTTCCAGGCCCATTGGATTCGGCAAGCGGAGATTGATCAGACCTCATCGGCTCCAAAAAGAATGATCTCCCCAGGCCATGTGGTCACTCCATATATAACTCCATGAAATGGGCATCGTGGCCACTCATACTTCCACCATGGCAGTGCTTGGCAGATGAAGACCCAGGAGATGACCCAGGGCTTTGGTGATCAAGAGATGGATGGTACTGCTTGATGTGCGAGAGTTTGCTGAGGATCAGCATGTAGATCATGTAGGAACTCACAAGGTTACAAACAAGAACACACACACACACAAAAGACCCCAAAAGGAACCTGGTGATCTGGTCTTGAAGACTTGGCTTTGAAGGCAGAGCCCACTTCGAGCAAGAACTTGATAGAGGAACAGCCCAAGCGTTTCCCATTACAGTAGGAAGGACGCTACTAGGGGCGCTCCTGGCATTGCTACCATGCAGTAACAAGAATGCTACTAGTAACCAAGGGCATCGCTGCTAGTAGCAAGGACGCTACTAGTATGGTTTCCTATTCCCACCGGGTTGACGCCAAGTGCCTGTCTCGGCCGACGAGCGGCCAGGAGACCCGCACCGCGCGTCTGCGTGGAGAGGCCGAGCCGGAGGTCGCGCCTTGGAGACTCCGAAGGGGGGAAACTGAGGTGATCCATGGGGGATTGGATGAAATCTTAGATTGGATATGATTGGATGAAATATTGTTTTTTTTTTCTCCGGCTAAATCTTATGATGAACCGTTTAATGAATTGTATGCCTTCTGCCGTGTTAGGCTCCAGCCAATGATGGCAGGTTCATCCTTCCACCTCCCAGGACTGGAGCCTCATCGCTGACCGGATCAACAAGCGCTTCAAGTACAAGCCTGGGAGGGCGGCTTTCTGTCCAGAGGAGTACCTGTGTTATGAGGACTGGTTCCTCCGGAAGTTATCAGAGAAGACTCACGGGGAATGTCTAGCCCAAGCGGCTCTGGCAGATGTGTGCACTCCGGTGCAGGGAAGGTTGTGGCCGCAGGCAGGATATGGCAGGATGCTGGTAGGGAATATGCAAATGTACCCTACTAGACTGTAGATAGTAGATACATTGAATTGAGCTCACTTGAGCCCATCAATCAGTTTGGTCGCCATGGAGGTTCCCAGTGGTGAGATGACGTTGAAGGTCTCTGTGATTGCAATGGAGGAGCTCCTGCGACTCCTACAAGGCGAGTGACGAAGTGGGATGTGCTATTATATGTTCTCGGGGGGGCTTTGGTTCTCCGGCGTGTCACAACTTGACAAACCCACTGGGTTTATGAGGGCACTGCAGATCAGATATATGTAATAACCTACTGAAGCTTGCGGAGAGGTCTAGGTTTGTTTAGGCAAGTGAGACCCAACGGTTCCTTGAGCTCGACGCTGAGAAGCTATGCCGGAACCGGGGCTGCCACGATCAGTGTTGAGGGCTCCAATGGGTCCATGTATTAACTTTGGAAGGTCCATGCCGTCCTGTATGACCAATCTATCATGCATTGCGGAAGAAAAAAAACAAACAAAAACATGTTGCACAGTACCTAGTACCTACTCGTCAATCTTCATGACTGAGACGATGTATCTCGTCCGGAGCGATGACGGAGAGATGCACCGCTCAAGGGGACCAGCTCCTGCAGCTCCGTTTACGTTGGCCAGTGCCTCGTCCCTGACGGCATCACTGTACCGATCTCACGTGCCCGGAATGCATGAAATTGCATGCACCTGTCCGCCTCCTACTGACCCAGTGTTGAAATGAAAAGGAAATCGAAGACATAGCTCACAGGGGGGGGCGAATGATCACAGCGGAGTTTGGTGGCAGCTCAGGACTATCACCGAGTCCACAGCCCCGTGGATGGCACCATCGAGTCCATCAAGCGCTACGAGAAAGACCAGCTTTTTCCGACATCCGCCGCCCCCCTGCAATTTGCGTAAGGCCGCCTGATACAATATCCACCAACTGCTTTATTGTAATACCAATTGTCAAGCAATGTTGAGTGCCGCATGTGGGTGGCAAAAGAATTACTGTATAAAGAATTCATGGGGAAAGAGAGTGAGTGAGGGAGGGAAAACGCATGAAAAGAACCAATTGCCAGGGCTCTGGTGGCTCAGGAGTCTATGTCAATCTTCAAGTTTGCCACGAGCTTCGGGCCAGTCCAGCTGCTTTGTATTGGAGAGTGGTCCGTGCAAAGCTTTCAAACCCATGCAGTGGCTGGACAGGAGGTCAGGAAGATGGATGAACTAGGACATTTTGACGTGGGCTCACAGGTGATTTTGGCCCTGCCCAAGTCTCTCCACATTTTGCCCAAAGAAGGCGCCCGAATGTTTGTGGGCGATCCCATCGCTGCAGAACACGTCCAGAAAAAAGAACAAGTCGTTCGGGCCATTCTGGGCCGTGGGGCGATGCCAGCGTTTTCAGGCAGAAAGCCGAAAGGGAAAGTCCTCAGAGCAAAGAGGTCTGGAAGATAAAGGATTTGGTTGACGTGTCCGTTCTTTTGCTTCGAAACCAGTTTGCATCATTTCGCCATATTTTGCCGACGGCTGTGTTTCTTCCGCCAGGGAAGACAGCAGAAAGAGTGTCAAGCCAGAGATGGCCGAGTCAGTCCCTGAAAGATCGTTCCACGTTCCACACCCCAAACATATAGTGATCGCTGGTCGCACATGGCAGCATGATGAATCCATGAACATCATGAGCCCGTTTGGTCGGGCGATTTGCACATCACGTTCACGTCAGACCGATGTCGAACATCGATCGTCCCATCCTAAGGACTCCCAGCAAGGCGCGCAAGGCGGGATGGGCATGTCGTTGCTCTTGTTTTTGACGCGTTGCATGTTGCCCCATCTTGTAACCGAATCTTTGGCTCTTGCGGATGTTCTCAGGTTCACCAATTTGCTTGTGACTTTGGGGGGCCAGAATGCAAGGCAGACATTAGGAAAAGCATAGCAGAAACATGAAAAAAGGACAAAAAAGGTCTCCAGTTTTCTTCCTTGGCTGAAGTTGCTTGATGAGGGTCATTTGGCAGGGGAAGGCGGTGAAATCCGGAAAGAATGGCAAGAAGTTCCTTGGCACAAGAATGATTGCTATGATTGCACCTGCAAACACCGTCCAAACTTCATGGCATCACATGCAATTTGCAGCTGTTTCGGAGGCAGACAGAGAGTGAGGGAGAGATTGTTTGTTGAGCTCACCTGCATTTACAATTGAGATCAAATTAGATGATAAATGGGGAACATATATTATAACATATTTATTGACATGCTGCAGGCTTCAGAAAGAAGGCACCAAGAAGCTCACAGGCCGGTTATTAGTGCACATGCAAGGCCACCTGTTGTCTCGTGACCAAGTGGCAGTGCCAATGGCGGCACCATGTGAATGCTGCAACATGAAGTACAGTAGATGCTTTACAAGAGAGAGAGAGAGAGGACGCTGTGTATATTTGCACCCGCCGGCGCAGGCCCACCTTGGCTCAAGCATTCCGGGGTCGAAAAGGATGATCCATTGGATTGCACTTCAGGTGTGGCTTTGGCACACTCCTTTCGCCTCCGAGGCTGGGGAATTTCGGGGCCTTCAGTTTAGCTCGTGAATCCTCAGTTTAGCACTGGACCAGCGAAACATCCGGTCTACAAGTTGGCCCCTGCGACGGGAGAGGTGAGACGCCCGGACACCGAGTTCCCAAGTTACACCCAGCCACCCCAGTCCGCGCGAGCAAGTACCCTGCAGGTGACTTTTGTACACCCGGACGAATGCAAGGCCTCCCCATGTTGCTTTAAGTACGTGCAAAAGGAGGTGGACTGGCTGGTGATGGGAGGGGGCGCGTCCCTTTGGCGCGTTCCAAAACCGACGCGCTGCGACGGTGCACCGTTTGAACGTCGCTCGCTCGCTCGCAAACGCGCTCGAGGGTCGTTGGAGCCTTCGGTCAGCACGCAGGAGCAGCACGCAGCACCGGTGGACCCCTCAGGGGGTGGAAGTGCCTGGTACTTCGCCTATGCGGGGACGGAGAAGGCCATCACCGACGTGGTGCCCAGCGAGTGGCGACATCAGAGCGTGGAAGCCATGCTGCAGAATTGGTGCGTGGCCTGGCAGATGGGTCCCAGTGGCGAAGCCACCAGCAGCTTGGAGGTCATGAAGGACAAGACCTGCGCAAAGGGAACTGCCTATCGGCTGAGTGAGGAAGGTGCCAGGCCAGTTCTGAGACCTTTGTTATTTTTTGTGGAAGTGAGGGGGAGGGGAGGATGCCAGATGTTTGAAGGTGTCAGGAGCCTTATATTAATTGAGATCGAATGAGATCGAGATAGATCGAGTAAGTAACGGATCTTCAGGCGACTCCTTGCAAGCATTGTCTCATATATTATGTGTGCGTGTGTGTATTTCCTAAGCTTGTTTCCGCGTTTTTTGACTCATGAATTCAAGTGATGCGGTGTGTTCAGCGACCGTGCCTTCACGTGTTTCATTCTTTTGCTGTGTCCGTGTCGGCCTCCTTTGCGAAGCTGCGTCGGAGATTCTTCGTTTCGGGATTTGCTGTGTGAAGCTTGCTAACGGCTTTCACACTCACTATAGGTATCTATAGGTCTCATTCACACGTTCTTCAAGAGGTTTTACCAGTAGTGACTAGTGGTGGATGAGCTGTTCAGTGTGCTCTCCAAAGTGACTGACGAAATGTTCCAAAGCACGTAAGAAACATGTTTTCGCGTTTGTACTAGCCTTTTCACTCCTACTCAACTGGCTGGTCAGGCGATATACCGAATTTTGGTTGGGTTCAGAATCATCTGAATCTTTGGCTTCTCCTTTGGGCGTCACTGTGACAATGAAGTCTGGGCAGCAATTGAATAGCACTTTGTTGGTGCCGTCCCTGCCTGTGCGCGACGACGGCTACTTCTCTCAGATGTGGTTTGACGCTTGCGAGGATGCCAACACTGCAACTGCGGCAGGAGCCATCGAATCATGATGCTCCTGTAGCAGATGCACTCGTAGTAGCACTTACATTAGGTTCAGAGCAAATGGCGCAAACCTATAGACTTGTTTGTGCCATCTACTCTGACACTAAAGTCCTTCTCGGCATCATCAACCTTGTAGAGAATCCCGATGCCATGCAATGCCGCCTGGGGAAATGACCTGGGCCAAAGTGGTTGTGCTAAGGGCGTCGAATTCAAAGTTGACAAGTAAAAGTAACGGAGCCAGTCGATGCACCTAAGAGGGGGTCGGGTTTAGGCAATCGTAAGTTCCATGGAGGCCATTTTGGTGGTGTTGTTTCTCGAATGCACATTGCAGTAGTCCTTGATGTGCAACAATCCATTTCCGGCTTGCGCCATCATTCACACTTCATCAAAACTGGTTACCTGATCTTACCTGAGAATAGCCTCAATGCACAGCTCACCGGGTCCCAGTTTCAGAATATGTTGAGCGCACTATCAGGGAAGGATGCCAAGACTGCCAAGACCAAGAACCTGCGCAAGGCGCCTCTTGGACCACGTTGCAAGGCTAGCTTTTTGTTGTTCGGGCGTTTGGGTGATGAATTTGTGCGCGTTTGTGTGAGGATGTGTGAAGATATGTCCTTTTAATTCCATGTGAACTACTTTCGAGGTCCTGAAGACGTTGAAACAATCGAAAAAGTTCATGAAGCAGACCGTCGCCTCCCTAGCCCTAGCTTCCTCATTGCCACGAACAAAATGTGCCCTTGGCCTCGGGAGTGTTTGGGGGTCTTCGAGCTTCGGACCTCACAGAATTTTCACATGTGCACTGAAAGCATTTGTGAGCCACCTGTTGTACCACGGAACTGCGCTTTTGCCTTGGTTTGAGTGTCAATCTTCAACACCCCCGCATGTAGTGATTGGAGCCCTCTCAATCTGCAAGCTTGGTGCATTTCCACCATGCTCAGGCCCGTGTGGTGTGTCCAGGCAGCCTGACCGAGCGCTTCATTGCTTGCTGCTTGGCTGAGGTATTCTTGGCCGCTTGCTGCGGCTGAAGGATGAACATGCTAAAGTCAGCATTGTGCGAATAATTTGGAGTGTGAGACAGTTGGTTCCAATGGCTGTTGATAACCAGTGTCTCCGCAACTTAAGAGCATCCCCCTGGCCAAAGCCTTTGGATTCGGCAACCTTTTCATTGTAGGCCACTTGTGTGTTGATTCGCTTGGGTAGCTTAGGTGGGCGCTCCACAACTCACAGCTCACTGCCGGTGGCCTTGGCCAAGAAGGCTAAGCGAAGTACAGAGTCAGAAAGGGCTTCAAGACTCTTCCAGGTACGGAGATGCACAGAGTCGGAAGACGTAACAAACATATTATATATATTTTGAGAGAGAGAGAGTATTATATATGTATATCTTACCAGTCTTACCAGATGTCGAAAGACGGGTGTTGTGACCCAGGACAGCCTTTGAGCGCGGCTTATTGGCCAGTGGACCTTTAAGCAGCAAGCTTATCGCCATCTACGTAGTTGCAGCGAGCTGGAGGGGATGCTCCTTCTAGTTCCTATACAGGGATCAACATGGAATAACTTCATTCAGATATTGAAGGCTAGGCCAACCCCGGGACCTTGCCACTTGTTTGTCTGCAACATGCCTCGGATTTATGCCGGGCTGTGAGAAAAATATGAGGCAGTCAAAAGCGCATTCCAACGCCATCAAAGTGAGGTTGGCGCTGGCTGCGGGAAGAGGCGGGTTCGTTCTTGGTTCTCTCAGAAGTGAACCTCTTGCAATTTAGATGTTGATGAAAGAAATCCCGCCAGCCTTGATAAAACTGCAGCGAGGAAGGGTATGACATGTAAAACGCATATAATATAATAGAATATTGACGATATTACATTATATTGTATTTTACAATATAACACAATATAGTACATGATATATCTAAATATATAGTTATACATGTATAGTTATATATACTATTGGCAATTGTTAGTATTACATATTGGCGCATGTCCCACATCAGTGGTTGCACGGCCCCTTTTTCCAACAGCAGACGGTTTTCCTTAGTCACGGGAACGAACGATGCAAAGCTTTTCTCCTGCTTCTGCCTCCTTCACTTCACAAATGGGAGAGAAATAGAATGTTGCACCCATGGGTTCATAGAAGAGGTACCCGTCACCATGCAGCTTCAACTCGCAGGACGAAGACCTCCAAGCACCGAGCTCGGTCGTGGTGGACGAGGAGGGCCATCGCTGGGCTCTCCGAGAGATGGAGATGACTTCGGCCGATGCCCAGAGGCGGCGTACGTGACGCATGTGACTTCATGGGAAAACCATAGGGTATGCCATATGCCGGGTACGCAAGGCAAGTTGGATAGGAAGTAGTTTGTTTACAAGGCCAGAATCTCGCTTTGTCAGAAGATAAAGATCAAGGAGTCAAGGAGGTATTAGGATAGAGCATCATGGTGACAGCCATGCAACGGTCATGCTAGTAACTATTAGTAGAGGTAGCGACTCAGATTGTACACTCTGATGTCCACCTTGGCGCGTGACCGATGCAGAGAGAGAACATGCTACGAATCGCAGGCTGCGCCGCATGGACTCGTACTTGCAGGAGGCCTTGTGGCCAGCATGCCCTGCACGTGCGTTCGCTCAGAGGTCTAGAAACCTGCCTTCCAAAACCTCTTGAAAGGCATCCTCTTTCATTCAGAGCTGAGCAAGTGCCGGATTGATGCGATGTCTTCACAGGTTAGTAAAAGTTGATGATTCTTGCATCCTATTACTGTAAATCAGTTTTAGACAGTGCCAACGCCCCCAACATCTCAAAATGGAGGTGTCCACTGTGACGAGTCGATCACCGACCTGAACGGCGACCTGCCGAGGTGTGTCTTTGGCCGAACGGCTCCTGAGCCCCAAGGCGCGACGCCGGCGCTGCGAGCGCTACCTGAAGGAGGCGACCCATCGAGCCGTGGGCCGTCGGAGTCTCCTGGAGTGAGGGTTGAGGCCTGGTGAGGATCGCTGGTGAGAATCGTGACAAGTGGCTCAGGTCGGGATGGATTGGCAAGAAAGAAGTGTGGCAAACAAAGGACTCCCCTTTCAAAATCAAATAGGCACACCATTCAAGGTTGTTTATGATGTGGTTTGTTTGTTAGAATAGTTCTTTCTTTTGGGCCTGGGTCAGAAAGATGGAGCTACCATGCAGTGGTCGTGGCTGTGAACAACGGCCCCCAAAAAGGGGGTTGAATGAATCCTTCTTACTCATCGTGTGACGATCTCCATGCGCCAGCGACGGTGTTTGATCAAGGTGATCGCCCCACTTCTCGATGAGACCTGTCCAGTGCATGCATGGGCTGCTGGTCCCTGAGATATTTACACAATGCTGTCACAAGAAGCATGAGCAAGAGATAGACAAAGAGAAAGAGAGAGAGAGAGAGGGGCAAGGTTTGCATCCACATAAAGGAAGTCAATGCTTTGTCAGAACTGCAATGCAAGAGTGGCTCCTTCAGCAAAGGCTCAGAACAAAGACTTTTGGCCTCACTTTGTTTTGGGATGTTTTTGGGTGAACCTCACGCTTCATCAATCTAGTGAGCTTCTAAGTGCTAAAGTTGCTGACGTTTGTGGAATGTGTTTTTGGCCTCACCACTCCACCATAGTAGGCGGTGACGCCACCGACGAATCGCCAGATCAGTTCGGCCGAAAGCCAGAGCCATGGCAGATCAGATGCCTGGAGCCGAGGAGTCGGTTCTTCTGCATCCAAAGGTGATCTGCACCGGCTCCGAAGCGCTCTGTGCTTTGAGCAACTATTTGATCACCACCTCGTTGGGAGGCCAAACCCTTTTTGCAAAAGGTGCTTTCACGTGGCACCAGGTTTGTTTTGGTTGCAGCAACCCATTCCTTGGATTTCCTTGTTGTGTGTGAGAGAGGTCCTTGAGAATCAGGATTTCTGTTGTATTTTTGTGCCATACAGATGTTCCACCCCACTGGCGGCTCCTTGTTGTGAGGCCTCTCGGGCATCAAGGGAACCATTCCCATTTTGATGGTGGCCATCGGCTTCTTGGGTTGGAGTTGAATCGGGAAAGAGCTTCCGAGCTTCAAACAGCTTCTTTTGCGATTCCGCGCCCAACAAATCATCACAGATCAAATAGAGTCAGCCGTGGTCCAAGTGGAGTGAAGCAGACACCATGTAGAACATGTGCGCCAGCGACCCGCGACAAGTGACGTCAAGATCATAAAAGGCATGGTTTTCTTGGTTGAACGAGGCACCCACGAGTCACACGAGCAAAAGCGATGATTTGATGTTGCATAGCCCAGGTTCCCGAATCAGCGATCGCTGCCCCCTCCACTTAGAAGATACCTGGCTGGAGAGCTGGGTCAGTATTGGCAGCTTGGTCCCCGCTCCGGTGCCAAATCTAAAAGAAAAAACCGAAGGGACGGCTCACCCATGATCACACATCTCAGTCACGGAAAAGCCTACGCGTACTCCTTCAAATTGCCATTCTCCTAGCCCTAGTTGTAGCAACGTTTGCCATATTGCGTTTTAGTGTTTTTTCCTGGCCATGTCATGGTGCTTTTCATGCGACCTGCTGATGTGACGTGACCTGCTGAACGCAAGGTATGTTATCAGCTTTACTGCTCCTGGAAATTCTGGCAGATTGTATCCCAGCACTAGCCTCGTGCTCCGACAGCCTCATGCTGCTGATTAAGCCTCTTTTGAGCGTCGCGCTGGCGCTCTCGCCCAGTTATGGGATCCTGGGTGTGAAATTTGGAGTCTACAGCCTACCCCAGCTTAGGCTTGTATTGGTTGGGTTTGTCCTGTTACCTGTAACAGTTTTGAACAAGGCCTTCACTGATCATCAGCATCCACTGTTACTGGCAATAGGATAAGCCCAATGTATTAGAAGCTGCCTGTTGGCAGGAAAAAATGTCCAATCCTACAAGCTGTGCCTGTCAGACGTAGCAGAAACTGAGGAACCTTTATGGAATCAGTTCTTTCGTTGGCTGGCTAGCGGCCTTCTCATCAGCCCTATTGGCCATCCTGGTGGCCTTCATGAAGGCCACAGTCGCTGATGTGGATTTGCGTTTGTGTCGCTGAATCGCGGTTCGCAAGATTTGGGATAGACATGGATAGACTGAAATTCCGTGGCTTGCTGCGCTTGAGCTGTGCAAAGTTCACGCACTCAGTGAGATCAGCTAAGGCTGCCTGGACCTTGGCCTGCGACGCTGGCTCTGCGGGTCTTTGCAGACACTTGTCGAAGCTCCATCAGGGTAGAGGTGAGAATGTTCGGGATGCACCCTGAGACGGACGGGAGTATACACGTTGTGCTGAGCCAAGGCCAAGTGAGGAGTGCCACGGAGAGCTTAGTTACAGGCTTGGGAGCACAAAAGTCTAATTGGCCATGTTCTGATGCCAATTCCGAAGAGGAGATATTATGGTCAGTATATATAGAGAAATATAGAGACAGGAGAGAAGATGCCAGGCTACTAGTAGGACCCCTCAAGCACCCTCAAATGCCCTCAAGTTGCATTGTTGAGCTCATGTTTGTTCATTGGGGGGCTCTCCCAAAATTTTATATAAAGCATCATCGAAAAAGATATATAGAGAGAGAGAGAGAAAAAGATTTTTAGCCCAGCACTGTAAGATGGCACGACTTTGCTTGCAGCAGGTTTGCTGGCCTTCGTGGTCTTTCTGGTGGGGCTAGTGGCCGCAGCCGTTGTCTTGGCAGTGTCACAGTTCCTAGCACCCTAGATTATTCATCACAATCTTCAATGGTCTCGTATCAAGAAGGAAAAGTTAGGAAAACCCAGGGTGGTTTTGCTCAAACTGGTTTGTTGAAAGGGACATTGGGGGACCAATTGAATTGCACCTACCAGATCATACAATTACCGTTTGAGCATCACTTGCGCCCGTTATGCCATCAGATCATCAACCACATAAAAAGGTTTGTCGGTGCATTCGATGGAACTCTCCCGGCGCCGAACAGACATCCACGATTTGTGCATGGTTGCTTGATGTTGTTTGCTATGTGATGCCATCGGGATCTACATTTGGACGCACATCTCTCTCTCTCTCTCTCTAGAAAAGGGGGGGCGTGATGCTTTTATCCATGGAGTTTGGGAGCCGTTTGGTATGTTAGAAACTGCCGTAGACATTTTGGGGATTTTTGGGTGTTTGACTCATGCTCTTTATTTGTGGCCTGCCCAGAGAAAATCAGAAACAATCGACCCGGAGTGAGAACGCATGAACCCAGGCACGCCGCTGGCTGAAATCCCAAGAAAACCTGACGTCAGACTCAAGTGAAAGTGATGGCAGTGATTCCAACGCGTGAAAGACACAGCGTGGACGAAGACCGTCCATGTGTTGGACAGTACACACAGAGGACACATCAAAAGTCTTCGATGCGGAGTGAAAGATCGAAGATGGACATCAGTGCGATTCTTAACTAAACAAGTGCCACGCTAGTAGTAACAGGTGCCACGCTAGTAGTAACAAGAAGCTACTAGTAACAAGTGCCACGCTAGTAGTAACAAGAAGCTACTAGTAACAAGTGCCTTACTAGTAGTAACAAGAAGCTATTAATTTAATTTAATCGTGATCATCCAGCAGCTCGGCTGAGGAGTCCAGTAAACAAGCCCTCCAGCAGGCCAGCCTTCGCTGTTACAATTGTCATGATCCGAAGGGGTCCGTTTTTTGCCAACGAACACTGCACCGATCCTTTGGATGATGTGACGAGTACCTTGTTGGATGACTGTGACAACCCCTCCTCACCCATATGGCATCAGTCCTGCATTATTGGATCAGCCCCACTCTTGAATTCCGAACCTGTCCAAAACTTCCCGCGCTAGACCTTTGCAGAGGCGCTTGGGCTCATTACAAGCTGTGCTCGCGCATGGATAGAGGCAACTGCCAAAGATGCCACCACAGAGGCCCCGCAGACAGAAACTGAACGAACATGAGCCGGGGTGGCACGATGTCCATTTGCATAGCTGCATTTAGCTGCATAGCTGGCATGGCCCAGAAGTAACCATAGTGAAGAACTGCATTGGTGACCCCTCAAAGGATTCCATTGGCCTTGAGCTTTCCTCGCAAGGTCACTGGGAAGGTTGTGCGCCGTGCCTGGTAGCGACCCAAACGTTTGCCGACTGGTCGATCGAACCGAAGAGTCTTTCGAGTAGAAAAAACATGGAAAACAAATGAACACCTTGGTCCAGTTTTGGTGATGCTGGCTTTTGCTTGAATCGATGCAATTTCTTCAGACTATTTTTTTGAATAAGAATCAGCTCGAGTGGGCAGAGTTCACCATATTCAGGTGTATGTGTGTGTGTGACAAGACTGGTGCCAATGAATTTGCACGAGTTTTGCGCATTTGTAGCTTGGGCGCCTTCGCACACCCAAGACTGCCAACACATAGCAACCAATGCGCTAAGGTTGCACATGTTGCACCGATCCATCGACGAGCGGGAGGACCTTATGAGCAGGGTTTGCCCACTGGGCCGTGACAGCGGCCCCTACCAGCACCGTGTTCACCCACCTTCCGTGGGGGCTGTTTGGACTTGTTGGAGTAAGTGCCTGAGTGTTGAGGAGTTAGTCACATCCAAAACAAGGAGGGAGAGAGGGAGGGATGGAGGGAGAGGGAGACAGGAAGTTTTCGAGCCCGGTCCGGAATCAAGCGGATGGACCTTTGAGATACCGTCCAGGACGTACAGCAAGCTGGAGGGCACTGGCAAGATTGGCAGGACACTTATTTGAGGCACGGTTGAATGCCCACCCGATGAATTTGACCAGGTTGGTGGCACTTCGGCAGGCCAGTGCAAGTCTGGAAGCGAGACATCAGTGTGAAGATGATGGGATGCACCTGGAAAATAATGCTTCGATCTTCACCTCTCTCTCTCTCTCTCGCGCTCGCTTTGAGGTCTAATCGTGGAGGGAGGGACAGCCATTCTCATCCTTGCAGGTTTGTTGGCAGGATTTTGTTGCTCAAGTTCTTGTTCTGAGGTATGTCTCAATAGGGCCCAAACTTAGTCTATGCCCAAGGGCCCAATCGAGGCCGAGGCAGATGGACAGATTGGCGATGCGGTAGAGGAGGGCATTGGCCGCCAGAAACCCAGTAGGTTTGCGTTGCTGGAGCAGTTGGGGCCGCGGATGAAGTGCCAAGTGAAGTGTATGCCTTTGTGGCGACACTTTTTGCCTGCGGTGTTGGTATATTCCATTTGGTGCTATGTGATGACGAAGCTAGATGCTTGGTCAGAGGCAGGCATTTGCAAATGTGCCAAGCCATGGCTATAAAAGAAGTGTTAAGTTAGGTTGTTTAGTGGACAAGCTTCCCCCATCAGTTTGATCAAACTTTTCTCTGCAAGACTAGTAATACCTGCCTTTCAAAAACCTTCTGGCCCAGATTTTCAGGTTCCAAAAAGACGATAGAACACATGAGAAAACAACACAATTGCTTTGGCCGATTTGTCTCCTGCATGTGTTGTTCCTTCGCTCGCCCCTATAACTATATAATTGCACCAAGAAAGGTTCGTCCGGGGAGCCATTCAAATTTTCGGGGGATTGGTTTCCAGATGGGAAAACACGAGGATTGACATTGCAGACGCGTTGAGTCTGCGGAGGTGTTCTGCACTTCTCGGACCCATTTGTTGAAAGGTCTCCAGTTACTACGTGCTGAGCCTGGCCATGGTCTTTGGTAGTTTGATCGCTGGCTCCACTCCTGTCGGTGGAGGTGTGGTGGCCTTCCCCCTGGTGGTGCTCTACCTGAAGCTGCCGGCGGATCAAGGGCGAGATTTGTCCCTGCTGGTCCAAGCAATTGGCATGTCTGCGGCCAGTTTTCTCCTTATTTACGCCAAGAGGCATCTATGCCACTTTTGGATCATACTTTGGTTTCTCATCAGCTCTCTTGCAGCCCAGTTTGGTCAATTCATACTTTTGATTTTTGGGGGACATGTGGTGGACCAGACGAATAACATAAGACACCGAGACGGTCTCGCCCCGCCCAGCTCCAGCTCCGCCAGGCAGGTCTTATGATCGGCTTCGAGCTCAACATCAGCAGTCGCACCGCCTCTTTGCTGTTCACCACCACGGTGAGTTGTTTCGCCATCGCTTATTTCTACTATCTTTGGCGTCAGGGCGCCCTCACTGAGACTAGGGAAGCCATCGAGCCCTGGGAACTGAGGACTTATCACCCATCCCTGCCATGGCTTCTCACCACCTTGGCATGCCTTTTTGGAGTGCTTGGGGGAGCTTTGACCGCCAAGATCGGCTCCGGGGCTGATATTTTCACCTACATTTTTGGCATCGTGTGGAATGCCCTGGTGCCCAAAGAGGCACAGATCTCGGAGAATATGCTCACAGCCTCCTCAGTGGTCGTCATGGCGGGTTGCAGCGTCTTTGGCGTATTGCTACGGCTAATGACTGGAGAGATTGCTCAAGAGGTGAGGCTTTGCTGGGCCGCGTGTGTGCCAGTGGTGGTTTTGGGAGCCCCGTTGGGCTCCTTGCTTTTGACCCCACGACTGACTGAAATTTTGAGGCGGCTTTTCTATCTTTTTGTGCTGGTGCAGTTTGTCTCCATGAGCATCCTCCAGCTCAAAGATGACTGGATCGGCTGGAGTTTGGTCCTGGTGGCGCTGGTGGCAACAGCCCTGGCCAGCCACGTGGTCTTCCACTGCAAGTAAATCACTATATAATTTGATCAGAGGGCGTGCTGTTGATGCAAGTGAATCAGGGGTGCGGTGTTGACAAAAAGGAACGTTTGCATTGACCGGCAGCATACCGGGCAAGCCATTGACAGAAACGCCCTGAAACGCCTGAAGTGACGCTTGATGTCATGCCTTTCGCCAGGTGCAGCTAGCACGTCTTTGCCCGTGCTTGGATGGAGAAGCGCGGCTTAGGCCATTGCTTTGGGGTTTAGGCATCCCTTTTTCAAGGCCACGAGGCAGAGGGTGCTTGTGCTTGGTCGATACCAAGACCTATGGGGACCATTGGGGACCAGCAATGGGGACCTAGGAGTCAACTTAAGATGTAAATGTAACCATCACATCACAGTATATATCGGGATTCAGACCTTGGAGAAAGCCCTGTCGGCAGGCTTCTTCACTCTGTCTCCCTGGCAGCTCCTGCAATGCAGAAGGCTAGCTTTCCGCGCATACATTGCTCCACACTCCATGACTCTTTGTTGAGTTTTGGTTTGGCCTCGACCTGGTGCGGCAGGCCACAGCAAAAGATTCACCAGCGGAAGTCTTAGCAAGTAGCCAAGTGTTTAAATGGGGCCGACTCGACACTCAGCTATTTGTGGACACCCTGACGCTGGGGCTGACTCCTGTCCGCGTCAATGTGGATGGCCGACTGCCTAGGTCGTGCTCCCACTGGGCTTGCTCACGTTCTTTCAGGCGCACTCGAACCCAGCAGGTCGCCAGCCAGGTGTTTTGAAGCTGGGTGACCTAGCTACATCCTGTATTGAATGCATTTGGAAGGTCTTCACGGAAAAAGGTCCTTTGTGACTGGCAGACACTCAACACTCCACCCACATCACCCACGTTTGAGCCCTTTGGCTCAAACATGTGGTCCAAGTTTGCTGCCCAGGCAGGGGATTTTCGGCGGTTTGGGTGGCCTGGGCAGATGCGACACTCGGGAGGGCATGCCACACATGTGACACTGAGTGATTGATGTTAGAAAAGGCTGTAAGAAAGAGATATGGGAGGATGGGAGGGCATAGGGTATATTCACATGCTTCTTACTAGCGCTCAGATTGCAAGCAGATTGCCCCTTTGTACACATCCTCCAGATGTTTGCTTTGCATAGGCGCTGCTGGCAGATGAGCAGCCTTCCAGGTGGAGACTGACGGGCTCAAGGCGATGGGCAGACCAACATTTGAGCTCCAAAATAGGGCACAGTTGGAGTGGGACACTGGGCGAGAGGGAAGCAGCCCCAAGCTGTTCAGAGCAAAGAGGCAAGGGTTCAACCAGGTCTTACAATGTAACTTAGTCTGAGAGCAATTCAATCACAAATAAGTCACAGGCCTATTTTGTTTCCAAGGTTCGAAATTCTATGTCCGTTCTAGGTTCCAAAAAATGATTTATAAAACATCACAAGAGATGACCGAACTTTGAGACTTTGGGTATTTAAACTAGACGATGAGTGGCCCGAAAGCATTTTTCATCACGTAGGAAGTCAGAGTGTGAGTTATTTGTTAAGTGTTCAGTGTGAAGTGTTAAGTCGAGTGAGTTGAGGCAGTGTGTGGGTCTCTGTGTGTGTGTGTATCTATGTCTGTGTGTGTGAGTCTCTGTCTCTGTGTGTGTGTGTGTGTCACCCCCTGTATCTAAGGGTTCCACCTTTGTAACTAAG